GGGTGGGGCGGGGGGAGTGCGGGGGGCTGGGCTTGGCCGGGGAGGCTGGTACCTCCCCCAGAAATGCAGCAATTCTCTCCCCTCTCCTCTTCTCTCCGCGAGGTGGGCGCACTGCGATGGAGACGCGGCGCGCTCTGCCAGGGGCTTGCTCTGCCCGTCTGGTGACATCCGCCGGCTGCTGACAGCCCCCATCCCGCCCGACTCGCCCCCCGATCCCGCCGCGGGGCTCGGCGGAGCAGCGCGGAGCGGGCGGCGGGGCGTGCGGGCCCGCTCCTCCCGCAGCGGTGTCATGCCCCTGGGCACCCCGGCCGGGAGCCGCCCGCACTGCGCCGGGACACGGAGGTAGCGGCTCGGAGCAGCTCCCCGCAGCCGCCCCTCGCCGGGCGACCAAGTCCCGTCCGCCGCCCCGCCGTCCGCCCGCCCCGTCGGGTCTCCGCATCCCCGAGGGTCCGCGAGCAGCGGAGTCACCAGAGCCGCCGCCATGGCCACCCTCCTCCGCAGCAAGCTCTCCAACGTGGCCACCTCGGTGTCGCACAAGTCCCAGGCGAAGATGAGCGGCATGTTCGCCAGGATGGGCTTCCAGGCGGCCACCGACGAGGAGGCGGTGGGCTTCGCCCACTGCGACGACCTGGACATGGAGCATCGGCAAGGGCTGCAGATGGACATCCTCAAGTCCGAGGGCAGCGAGGAGGGCGGGGAGCCGCCCCTGGAGGGGGACATCCACTACCAGCGGGACGGCACAGGGCCCCTGCCGCCCTCCGCCTCCAAGGAGGCCTGCTCCGAGCTCTCCGGGCAGGGCAAGCCCAAGATCACGGCATGGGAGGCGGGATGGAACGTCACCAACGCCATCCAGGTACGGCCGCCGGCACCGGGCAGCGCTCCCTGATCGCGGCCCTGTTACGTGCTCTGCATCTTGGCCAGAAGCCGTGGGCTCATTGCAAACCGGCTTCGAGGAAAAGGGGGAAAGGGGAAAAAAAGGGGGAAATCCAGAAATAAAAACAGGTGAAAGATAGAGGAGAATAACAGAATGGGAGGAAGGAATTAAAAGGAAAAACAGATTTTAAAAAAAGGGAACTAAAACCCTTTAGCCCGGCTTTCTGCTTTGCCCCTCCCAACCCACCCCCGAACCAGGCACAGCGCCAGGGAGGGGCCCAGGCCCCAGCCCAGTCCCGCTGCAGATTCTGACCCCATCAGGCTGCCCCAGCAGGGGTCACCGGCAAGAAGGAGCAGGAGGCCCGGGGGTGACTGGGCTGGTGGTGGGGCTGCACGGGAGTGGGCCCAGTTGGGCACCACAGAATATGCCCAGCTATGGAGGTCTTGGTGCACTGAGAGGGGCTGGGGACAGCGAGGGTAGAGACTGGAGCAAAGCCCGGGCACCCAAACCTTGCTCGCCTGTTGTGGGTGCTCGGGGGCGCGATGACGCGGGCGTGACTGCGCGGGGGTGACAGTGGGGGTGGCACGTCACAGGGACACGGGTGCGTCACCGCGCGTGGCCGCGGCTGCGTGGCGTGACTGTGTGACCGCCTGCGTGGGTGCCGTGGTGCGTGGGCAGACAGGGAGCACACACGTGACCGCCGTGGTGCGGCTGCGCGTGCTCGGCGTGGGCCCGGGCCCCTCAGAGATCCAGCAACATGGTTTCCATTTTGTCTCTTTCTAGGGGATGTTTGTTCTGGGCCTGCCCTATGCCATCCTTCACGGTGGATACCTAGGACTCTTTTTAATAATTTTTGCTGCAGTGGTTTGCTGCTACACTGGGAAAATCCTTATTGCCTGTCTTTATGAAGAGAATGAGGATGGGGAGATAGTCAGGGTGAGAGACTCCTACGTGGACATCGCGAACGCGTGCTGCGCGCCCCGCTTCCCCACCCTCGGGGGCAGAATTGTGAACGTGGCTCAGATCATTGAACTGGTCATGACCTGCATCCTCTATGTGGTTGTCAGTGGGAACCTGATGTACAACAGCTTCCCCAACCTGCCTGTCTCCCAGAAGTCGTGGTCCATCATTGCCACGGCAGTGCTCCTGCCTTGTGCGTTCTTGAAGAACCTCAAGGCAGTCTCCAAGTTCAGCTTGCTCTGCACATTAGCCCACTTTGTCATCAACATCCTGGTGATCGCCTACTGCCTCTCCAGGGCACGCGACTGGGCCTGGGACAAAGTCAAGTTTTACATTGATGTCAAGAAGTTTCCCATTTCCATTGGCATCATTGTCTTCAGCTACACCTCCCAGATCTTTCTGCCTTCCTTGGAGGGGAACATGCAGAACCCCAAGGAGTTTCATTGCATGATGAACTGGACTCACATCGCAGCTTGCATCCTTAAGGGACTCTTTGCCTTGGTCGCCTACCTGACCTGGGCTGATGAGACCAAGGAGGTCATTACAGACAACTTGCCATCCACCATTAGGGCAGTAGTCAACATTTTCTTGGTGGCCAAAGCCTTGCTCTCGTACCCCTTGCCGTTCTTTGCAGCTGTAGAAGTCCTGGAGAGGTCCCTTTTCCAAGATGGAAACAGGGCTTTCTTCCCCAACTGCTATGGGGGTGACGGGCGGCTCAAATCCTGGGGACTCACCCTCAGATGCGCCCTGGTAGTTTTCACCCTGCTCATGGCTATTTATGTCCCCCATTTCGCCCTCTTGATGGGTCTTACTGGGAGCCTCACAGGCGCAGGGCTCTGTTTCCTGCTCCCCAGTCTCTTCCACCTCAAACTCTTGTGGAGGAAGCTCTTGTGGCATCATGTCTTCTTCGATGTTGCTATTTTCGTTATAGGTGGTATCTGCAGCATCTCTGGGTTCATCCACTCTTTAGAAGGCCTCATAGAGGCTTTCAGAACCAATGCTGAAGACTAAGGAGGGGCCAGAGTCGGGTGCAGGAAGAGAATCACATCGAACATCCGCATAGCCAAATAATTCTGCATCCCTTTAATGGAAAGAGTCATTATTTTCGTTACGTGCATCCAACAAATTCTATGTCATAGAATCTGCAAACTAAGAAAAATAAGAAGAGATGAAAGTGCTCGCCCTGATGTCTTTTTAAATAAGCTCAGATTTAAATATATTTTTTTGTTCTTTAGATTTTTTGGAAGGAAATTATCTGGTGCCCCACCCCTATCTCCTCACTCGTTGCCTGAAGCTTGGCCCCCCACAAACGGCCTGTTGGGAAACAGTGGCAGTTTTCAACACTCCTCACAGATATGCAATTCAGTGTTTCAGGAGCTGAAACACAGGCGCCGATCCCACGGGATTGGGAAGCAAACCCGCCGCAGGGACCTTTGTTTGAACACTTTGAGAGATGGATGTAGACGAGACCCCGATTGTACGACCAGCCCAACAAGCCCAAGCAGCGTCTGACGACCGGTGATGCCGCTTACCTGCAATGTTTACACCGTAGTCACATAGATGTCAGGACTGCTCGATTCTTCCATCCGAATCCACACCGAGGAACGGCGCTTCCCATCAAACACAAATGTGTTGCCTCTGGTTGAAATCGCAGCCCTGGAGTCCACTTCTCGGTGACTTATGTTTTGTTTTGTTTTAACAATTGTTATTTTTAAATTATTAAAAGCTAAAAATAATAATAATAATAATAATAATAATATATGGTTGGATTTGATGTCGTTCAGGATTACAGGAACAAAACTACGACACAATTCATTCTGTGCAATCTACCAGATCCGTGGAGCTGTTTCCAATGTACGTGTGGTGTCATTGTGGTAAATAAGATGAAAAATGTATATCAGAAAAAAAAAAATCTATCTTTAACATATAATGTGGTACATAAATATATGGAACAATAAAGAGAAAACATAGATGATGAGGCTGGCCTGGTTCGTGGGGGGCTTGGAGGAGCAGGGCAGGGACAGAGGGAGGTTCATCCTCCCCGTGTCGGGGCTACAACACATCCTCAGGCTAAGGAGAGGCAGCGATGATTTTCCAAAGGTGGCATTCAGCTGTTTGCAAGACGTAGGAGACATTTTTGGGGAAGAGGCTGTCTTCCAGCTGGGGGTGGCAGGGCTGCTTCCACCCCCTCCTCGCAGTTTTGCTTTCCCCCGTAGTGCTCAGACTCCAGGGATGGGAGTTTGCAGATGCACCCCTAGGTTTTATTTCTCTTCTTGTTAAAGAGGGGGGGAAAAAATCCTCTCACAAACAAACAAAGGGGGAGAAATAAACGAAATAAAAGGCTGGGTGTACCCCTGGCTTGATCCAAACTCACCAAACCCTGCCCACGGGTGTGGAGCGTCGGGCTGATCCCCGCTGCGGGCAAAGCCGCCACCGCGGGGGAGGTCAGCCCCACACTCCAATCCCGTGACCGAAAACACCATGATTTACACCATTTTAAAAGCCACGACAACTCAGTGTCCATCCGCTGCCGCTACACAGCGAGGATGAGGATGGGGGGACGCACCGGCAGCGCTCCCGCAGCACAGGCACAGCTGGGGTTCCCGTGGGAATCCTATTATTGCCCCCAAAACACGTCGAGCTCCGGTAGGGCCGGGATGTCCTCCCATCTCCCCCGCCGGTCCGGTCCGGTCCGGGGTTAGCGGGCAGCTCCGCAATGCGGTACCGGGGGCGGGACGGGGGTGTTGGCACAAGCTGGGAAAGGGGATGCGGGCGGGCGAGAGGGATGTCCCTGCCCGGGGAAAAACGCATTTCGGGCGATTTTCTGGGCAGCTTCCGAAAGAAAAGAGCAGGGGAGCTGTGGGGTCTGTGCCGAGTGGGGACAGGGTGGTGTGGCGCCGGGCGTGGGTGAGAGTGGGGGGCATCGTGGTGAGGCTCCTGCCCCCGTATTAGCCACATTTCCCTCCCTGCCGGCGCCCTTGCCTGGGATATCCAGCAGCGTCCTACCCCATTCTCAAACTCATCCCCATCATCTTCATGCTCACCCCTGCCTCCATCCTCACCACTTTCATCCTCATCACCCCTGCTCCCACCCCGGTGCAGGTGACCCGTGATTGCCGCCCTGCCGCAGGCACGGACAGCCCGATCCGCGCCCCCGCGCCGTGCGCTCCCCGCCCGCAGCCCGCCCGGAGCCGCCACGGCGGCCGAGCGCCCTCGCCCGGAGCACGGCATCCATCCCAGCCGGAGACGGGATGTGCCCTGCCAGGAGCCACGGCATCCATCCCAGCCGGGAGACGGGATGTGCCCTGCCAGGAGCCACTGCATCCATCCCAGCCGGGAGACGGGATGTGCCCTGCCAGGAGCCACTGCATCCATCCCAGCCGGGAGACGGGATGTGCCCTGCCAGGAGCCACTGCATCCATCCCAGCCGGGAGACGGGATGTGCCCTGCCAGGAGCCACTGCATCCATCCCAGCCGGGAGACGGGATGTGCCCTGCCAGGAGCCACTGCATCCATCCCAGCCGGGAGACGGGATGTGCCCTGCCAGGAGCCACTGCATCCATCCCAGCCGGGAGACGGGATGTGCCCTGCCAGGAGCCACTGCATCCATCCCAGCCGGGAGACGGGATGTGCCCTGCCAGGAGCCACTGCATCCATCCCAGCCGGGAGACGGGATGTGCCCTGCCAGGAGCCACTGCATCCATCCCAGCCGGGAGACGGGATGTGCCCTGCCAGGAGCCACTGCATCCATCCCAGCCGGGAGACGGGATGTGCCCTGCCAGGAGCCACTGCATCCATCCCAGCCGGGAGACGGGATGTGCCCTGCCAGGAGCCACTGCATCCATCCCAGCCGGGAGACGGGATGTGCCCTGCCAGGAGCCACTGCATCCATCCCAGCCGGGAGACGGGATGTGCCCTGCCAGGAGCCACTGCATCCATCCCAGCCGGGAGACGGGATGTGCCCTGCCAGGAGCCACTGCATCCATCCCAGCCGGGAGACGGGATGTGCCCTGCCAGGAGCCACTGCATCCATCCCAGCCGGGAGACGGGATGTGCCCTGCCAGGAGCCACTGCATCCATCCCAGCCGGGAGACGGGATGTGCCCTGCCAGGAGCCACTGCATCCATCCCAGCCGGGAGACGGGATGTGCCCTGCCAGGAGCCACTGCATCCATCCCAGCCGGGAGACGGGATGTGCCCTGCCAGGAGCCACTGCATCCATCCCAGCCGGGAGACGGGATGTGCCCTGCCAGGAGCCACTGCATCCATCCCAGCCGGGAGACGGGATGTGCCCTGCCAGGAGCCACTGCATCCATCCCAGCCGGGAGACGGGATGTGCCCTGCCAGGAGCCACTGCATACATCCCAGCCGGGAGACGGGATGTGCCCTGCCAGGGGCCACCTCATCCATCCCAGCCGAGAGACGGGATGTGCCCTGCCAGGAGCACCGCATCCATCCCAGCCGGGAGACGGGATGTGCCCTGCCAGGGGCCACTGCATCCATCCCAGCCGGGAGACGGGATGGGCCCGGCCCGGAGCCACCGCATGCACCCGTCCGAGATGAGGGGAGCCAGCCCGGACAGGGGGCTTCTCTTCAGGGGGGCTCGCTGCTCTTTCTTCTGCCCTGAGCGCTCTGTTCCAGCTCTGCTTTCTCCCCAGGGCAATGATAAAGGGCCAGAGCGGGAGGAGATCCAGCCCGTCCCCCTGCCCTGAGATAACCCCCTCGGATCCCGGAATAAGTGGAGAGCTGAGGTTGCCTGGCAGGTTAATACAGTGCTCTGCACATCTGGTTTGTACACGGGGCTTTCAGGGTGTTTCTGTCTCTGTGTTCCCCACCAGGGGAGCAAAGGGATTCATGCCATGCCATGCCATGCCATGCAGCAGCGTGGCAGCTGGCTCTCCTCTCCTGCCGGCAGCTGCTTGAGCCTGGACACAGGATGCTCACAGACTAACGAGTCCTGGTCCTTGTGCTTTACAGGGGCCAAAAGTTCTCTGGTTCAGAGTACGTGATGGTGGAAACCATTTTACGAAGCTTTAATTTTGCAGAGGTTTTAAAGCTAATTCAGCACTTTCCCGCCCTTCCCCTTGTGAGCAGAAGTGGCCCCTGCTGTACGTGGGGCTGTAAGATTTGTGCCCTTTTTGTGACAGTGAGGGCAAGGGTCAGGGATCCTCACTCCTATCTCCTAGGGCGAAGAACAGGGAAGCTGAACCAGAGGGTTCCCTCAGCCCCCGCCAGGACACCTCAAATCCCTGAGCTCCCCAAGCTGCTCTTGCAGGGAGATGCCCCGGCTGGAGGGGCTCGGTGCCCCGCTGCCGCCGGGCAGCAGCGGCGGTGCGGCTCCCGGGGGTCACAGGGCACCTCGGCGTCTGCCCCGCTGCACTTTTCAGCTGTGGCGAGGCCAGCGATTTCCCAGCGAGCCCCAAAGGGCTTTGTCTCGCTGTCAGCTCTGCTCGGCGCTTCCCTCCGCGCTCCTGCCGGGAGCCGGCGCTCCTGGTGGCTGCGCTTGGGAACGAGCGGGCGATAAGCAGAGGCTGTGTCCTCTAAACTTGTCCGTGGCTGGAGCGGACGTGGCTGCTGGTGCGACACTTGTGCCTTGGGCTGGGAGCACGGGCAGCCCCTCCAGCCCGTCGCACAGGCATTTTGATGCTGTGGTGCCTGTGGCAGCCTTTGTGTGCCCAATGCTGCTGGACATGTGCAACCCCGACAGCAAGGGACGCAGCAGAGTGAGGAAAATAATCCCAAAATAGCAGCAGGTTTAACTTGAACAAAGCAGAAATCTTCTGTAAACCCAGTGCGATGTCAGAGTCTGATCTGTGCCCCAAATGTTTTTTGTCTGTGCTTTGTAGCTTCTGGTCATATGCTGCAACAATCCTCTAAACCTTCTCACTCTGAAAACCAGACAAACAAAGGCCCTCTCTGCACTACCAGGGAACGGATTTATTTCTCTCTGTGTCTTTATAGTTCCTCAGACACAATGGGGACCTCTATTTGGGCTCGTTTCCTGAGACATGAGGGTAATACCAAATCTTTGCTGAGTGACACATCCACACAGTTGTTCCTCCCAAAGGGACCATCGGTGGGAGCTGGGGTGAGGTGAGGGCTGAGCCCACTCCTCCCTGTGTGCAGAGGGCAGGTATGGCTCTGCCTCCTCCCCACACATGGAGCCAGAAACCTTGCCTGTGGTGGCAGCTGGATATCTCGACCTCATGCACTTTGGATACTCCATATCACATATTCCAGGCTATTTCAGAAAATGCTTATTTTGATGGTGGCATCAATGTTCTCCATCAACTGATTTTGTACATTTTTTGAGTTTGTGTTTCAGGTGAGGAGCTGGAGGATCCACCAGTGACTCCACCAACACAATCTCCTGTCAGGCTCTTGTTTGGGCCCCACACAGGGATGTGTGACCCCTGGTGCTGCGCTCCTGCAGGGGGGAAGCAAGAGGAATGGAGCAAACTGGGGAGAGCGTGGAGGGCAGTAGATTTTGGCTCTAAGAGTGCTCCTCTGGGCTCAGTTCTGATGTGCCCATGGGTCCTCCTTGGATTCTCAGGTGGTTCTTCCTCTCTATGAGTGGCCTGGGATCCACAGAGCAGGTGACACACAGGGGGCAGAAGGGAGGTTGTAGGACTGTCACACCTGCACAGATCAGGCATGTAAAAGTCTCTGGATTTCTTGCCCCTCAGTGCTGCCAGAGGGCAAGGCTCCCTCTCACCCAGCTCCTTGCTGTCTGCCAAGGTCTGTGGGTTGCTGGGGGATTGGCAACAGGTCCTGTCCACAGCCAGGAGGTCTTGCTGGAGTTTGGGAAGTGACCCATGCCTCATTACCTCTGCTGGGACCCAGCATGTGACCCAGCACAGCCTCCGGCAAACAGAGCACTTTGTTCTGACCCTTTGCACTTCCCTGCCAGCGAGCTGCCCTCTAATCCCCCCAAGGAGGGATTTTCCTCTCCCACCCCAGCTCCCTGTGCCTTGGTCCCCTCAGAGAGCGGTCCAGGGTAATAATTTACTGCCTGCCACAAGCCACTCCTTCGGACTTTTCCTTCGACCTTCAGACTGCATTGCCAAAATAAAAACAACGGGAGGGAGAGAGGCACAAGCTGCTTCCCACGGCGAGAGTGTGGCAGTGCCCGCCAGCCCTGCTGCCGGATCCCAGGAGCCCTGTCTGCAGGTAATGCCCCTTTGCTTTCTCTGGGAAGATTGAGACTTTCCCTTCTTTTAATGACTTCCTGAAGCCCTTCAGGAGCAGCAGAGGGTTTTGTGAAGGACTCGTTCCTTGCTGCAGGAACCTGGCTGGCCTGTGGAAGAGCTGCTCCCCAGGGCCAGCAGCTGGAAGTGGAGTGGGGTTGAGTCCCAGCAGTGGGGTTGTTTCCCAGATGTGGAGAAGTCCAGAGAGGAGATGAGCAGCCTCCTTGCTGCCCCCAAAACGAGCTGGGAAAATTTCTGGCATTAGCACTGCCTCCCCCAGGAAACTTCCATCAAAGGAACTTCCATCACTCTGCTTATCCCTGCAGCCCCACATCAGCTCAGCTGGGTGGGCTCCTGTGCACAGCACCCATGGCGCTCCTGCTCTGGGTACTTTCAGGAGCTGGCAGATCAGCAGAGACCAGCTGTGTGTCCCCATGGTCCTGGGCCACCTGCACATGGAAAGGAGCCTTGGGCTCCACTGGGATTTGCAGGCAGCACCAGAAGGGTGAAGTTTACACCAGAATTTTCAGGTTGTGTTGGCTCCTGTGTCTCCTGGGCTCTGAGAATCTCTGAGGCTGGGCCTGGTGAAGCTCAGGGGTGTCCAGCAGCCTTCTAACAGAGCATTCCCAAACCCCTCTCTGGCAGGACAGGGAGGGCTGTTCCTGCTCAGTTCCAGAGCAGGGGAACAGAGCTGAGCTTGGCAGATTTTAGGACAGCTCTGCTACTCTTGCACAAGGGCTCACAGGTCTTTGCAGTGCCTTGAGCCCAGCTTGGACTGGGCTGCTCACTGGGGACAGTAGGTAGAACTCTGCTGGAGACAATCTCTGTGCCAGCTCCAGTTCTTCCCAGCATTTGCAAGTGGATGAAAAGGGTTGAAAACATGGATCCCACGCAGTGGAGCTGGAGCTGGCAGCTCTCAGGGGAGGCATTCCCAGGGACACTGCACCACAGCTGCTCCTGGTGGAGGCAGGGCTGTGCCAGCAGCCAGGGGCCTGGCTTTGGGCAGGGCAGCTCTCAGAGCCACTTCTGAGCTGCTGAGCCCTGCTCAGCCCAGCCAGGAACCTGCCTCTCTGCCCGTGTCCCCACCAGGCTGAGCTCATCTGGGGCTTGAGCTCGGGGTGGTGGCCCTGTGTCACACTGACCTGTGCTACAGGGGAAAAGAGAGATTCACCCCAAAAAACAGGGTTTGGGATTTGTGGTTTTTTGGGTTTGTGGTTGTTTGTTGTAGTTTTCTTTTGGTTTTTATTTTTTTGGGGTTTTTTTTGGTTTTTTTTTTTTGTTTTTTTTTGGTTTTTTTTTTTTTTTTGGGGGGGTTTTTTTGGGTTTTTTTTTTGTTTTTTTTTATTAAGGCTCTCAAGCACAGGCTGTAATGTGTCCTGAAGTGCTGCTGGGAAGGAGAAGAGGGGACAGCAAGCAGCAAGGACAGTTGAGCCTTTTGCAAGGACAAGGTTGGGCAGGAAGGGTCACTTACAGTCAGACTGCTTCCAATGGTGTGTTATTTATTCACTGAGAGTGTGCCTACACTTGAAAAGCACTTGGGAGCAAAAAAAGTCCCAGCCACCTAATTTTAATGACAATAATAACCTCAGGAATTGATTCTGCAGAAAAAGGAAAGTCTTTACCAGATTTCAGTAAGATTCTGCCACACTCATATTTACATTAACAGAGACACAAAAAGTGGCAAAAATTGTTCAAACCCGCCTTAGCTGTCCTTTGGAATAAAAACTTGATACCCAGTGGCCTCTGCTTATCTCCTTTTTTCAAAACATGGAAAATATCCCAGCACTTATGTGAGATTCCTTGGCAAAATCAAAGGCAAAGCCTCAGGCAGAGTCCTGCTTTTTGAAGCTGAAAGAAAAATGTTGAGGGGAAAAAAAAGGAAATCATTTAAAGAGCTGCAATGGTCACCAATAATCTATTTATTCTTTCATGAATCTTCCTAAAAAGAACAAATAGCCTCTGAGCTTTTAAAGAATATCCTATCCTATCCTATCCTATCCTATCCTATCCTATCCTATCCTAATCTTAGCTCTTACCCAGCAGAGATAACTGAGTAGCCAAATATTTTAGGTCGCCTTCTATCCTATCCTATCCTATCCTATCCTATCCTATCCTATCCTATCCTATCCTATCCTATCCTATCCTATCCTGAGCTTTTAAAGAATATCCTATCCTATCCTATCCTATCCTATCCTATCCTATCCTATCCTATCCTATCCTATCCTATCCTATCCTATCCTATCCTATCCTATCCTATCCTAATCTTAGCTCTTACCCAGCAGAGATAACTGAGTAGCCAAATATTTTAGGTCGCCTTCCACTGCAGATCCATGGTCTCTTGCTTTGTGCTTTCTAGAGAAGTATTTGTTTTTAGCCTTATCTGGACTTTCCCTGCAATTCCAGTTGCTCAGGACTGTGTGGTTCCACTTCAGTGACACTTTTATGATTATGGTTATGGATATTGCTAGACAGGGAGATTAGGAATATCTTCCCCTGTAAAATAGCATATGAAATGTTGTAAGAGAGAGAGAGAGAGTACTTCTCTGTGTGTAGAGACAATGGGCTGGACCTGTTGTCCCCACTGGATGTGTCCTGTGCTGGTGAAGCTGCAAACATGGCTTTGCTGGGATGGTCCTTCCTGGAGGGATCCAACTCAGCCACAGAAGGACCAAGCAGCCCTTGACCCCTTATAGGGCTTGGGGAGGAGAAAGGAAGGTTCCCTCCCTCGGGAGGAAAGAAGATGTTTCCCAGAACAGGCAGTGTCTGGAGGCTCTGAGCTGTGCAAGTCCAGCTGAAAAAATCCCTCTCAGTGGCCAGAGTTTGTTCCCCACGGTCTGGCCAGGTCCAGGCAGGAGGTGTGCACAGAAGGGGTTAAATTGCCTGAGATCTGCTCCTCACCTTTGAACTCAGGTCCAGCCGGAGGCTGTCCTGGCACAGATGTGTTCTCTGGAGGGCAGGGAAACAGAAGAGCAGCAATGCTGGCAAAACCCAGCCCTGACATCAGCAGCTGCCCAGCTCCACCAGAATTGTTTAATTTTGTCCAGGAGTGTGTGAGTTCTGGGCAGGGGAATGGGCCAAGGTCAGTGCTGCTGTAAGGGGCCATGGTCACCCTGCTGGCACCTGCAGGGACACGTGCCTGTGTGATGTGTGTGCCCTAAGTGCTCCCACACTCAGAAATCTCTTCAGGGTGGCACTGATGTGTCCTGCCATGGGCACGGGCCATGATGGGTGAGGGACAAGAGCTGCCAGGGGGGGACTGGCTGTGGGCACACAGGACAGGGCAAGGGCAAAGCCTCACCTCTTACACATGGGGAGGGCAGGAGGCCCTGCTCATACCTGCCTGTCCCATTCCTGTCATCACAGTGACAACTGCTCACCCTGGTCCCCTCTCCAGGGAGAGTCACAGGGCTCCCCACAGCCCTTTGCAGCTGCCCCAGGTGTCTGATGTTGAATTTCCAGCGAGGACCTGCCCTGCACTGGGGATTCACTGGCGGGCCATGTGTCCCTGTGCTTCCAGGGAATGTTTGCTCCTGTGCCAGGAGCCACCAGTGTCAGGGCAGTCACCCTGGGTACAGGTGGAGTGAACTGGTTTCAGCTCCTCAAAAGCCTCTATACTCCATATCCTTTTCTGACAGCAGAAATACATGATTTTACCAGGTTTTGGGTAAATTTCATCTGTGTTACAAGAGCCAAACCTCTCAGCTCTCTTCCATTCCCTCTGTCTGCCAGTCCCAAAGTGCTTTGTCACTGGGGTGATGGCAGAGCCCCCCAGTGATCTCCATCTCCACCAGACTGGGTGGGTGCTGCCCAGATGAGGTCAGGAGCTGTCCCAGTGTCCCAGAGCAGTGGCTGGCTGGCAGCAGCCAGTGCTGCACCCAAGGACTTGTCTCTGCTCTCACTCCTGTGCCCTTCACCTTTGCAGACAGAGGAACATCTGCGTGCTCTGCTTCCCGAGGACGCCCGGAGCCAGCAGCTGAATTCCTGCCCCAGCTGCAAGGAGAGGAGATTATTTTGGCTGGCTTATGTTCTTATGGCCTGGATGGAGCCCTCTTCCACTGCCCTGGGCAAGACAAAAGGTAATGCTGCTGGGTGGCACGGTGCCACTGAGCCCTGGGCATGGTGAGGGCCTGGAGAAGGCTTCCCCGTGGTCTCCCACAAGTGCTGGGCTGCAGAGCCCTCCTGGTGGGCTCCAGCCAGGCTCAGCCTGCCCAGCAAGGGCTGCAGGGAGCCTGGTTCCCATGGGACACTCACAGAGGTGGCAGCTTTGCCTTGCACATCTGGCCCTGTGTGACACCCAGCACTGGAGGGTCAGTGATCCTCACCGAGGGGGTGAGGTGGACAAAACTGACCCAACACCACTTTGTCCATCACTAGCTGTCATCAGATTAGATGTTTTATGCATTTGAGCTGTTAAATTTTTCCCTACAGGATCCTCCTGCTTTGTCTTCTTTAGATAGAAAGTGGATTTTTAATTAAAGGTTACTTTTTAAATGGAAATTAAAATCAAGTAGATTTTGTTGATAACACTGAAATTTTCATTAAAGAAACAAAAGCAGGAGGCACTGACTAGAAAATGTAAGTTAACTCATGAAATTATTCTGAAATTTGACCATTTCAGTGCAAGTGGAGGCAAAGCTGGAGAAAAGAAAAACAAGGGATGTTCTTAAAAGATATCAATGCTGATAGCTTGAGAATATTTGCTGAGCAAAAAATCAGGTTTTGACCTGAAAGAAGGTAATATTTCCAGGAAAATGATGCTCCCCTCCCTTATTACACATGGCACCAAACACATCAGATGTTCCTGATGATCTCCCCCTGGTAGCTGCAGTCTGGGTGAGGGGCCCATCCCACAGTGGCCTGCCCTTCTGCTTCCCACAGGGAATGCTGCCACAGTCTGGCTTTCACCTCCTTGCACCCACCACTGAAATTGCTCCAGAAGCTGCTTTCCTGCTGCTGCAGCTGCATGCAGGGAGATTTTAATAGGAAACTACAATGGAAGCAAAAAGGGACTGTTTTATATTTAATGAAGAGAGAGAAGACATCAGCCCTTCTCCCAGGTCTCCTTTTGCTCAGAGCTCAGTCTCTGGTCTCTCAAATCTCCAGGCTCCCCATGAGTTTATGTTTGCAGTTAGTAGTGCTGCAAAGCACCAGCCTGGCTGCAGCCCTCCAGGGTCCCCAGGCCATTGTAAAAAGCAGTTTCTTCAGGGTTTGACCTGAACCAAATGCCAGTTTTGACCTTCCTCCAAACCACTGGACAGAGGAAGAATTTCCAGCTGACTTGTAAAAAATTATTCAGAACACCTGAGCTGCCTGCCGGGCTGTAATTTGCTTCTACACACCACCTGCATCTCTTCCTCCCCACCCAAAACTCTCCCTCCCACCTAAATTCTCACTCCTTGCATACAGCTAGCAGGTGTTTCTTCATCTTTTGCAGCTGGTCAGCTTTTCCTGCTCTTTTTAAAGTGCTGCAGTGAGGCACTAGCAGTGGCATTATCACTCTGAGGAGTTGGGGGTGGTTGTGTTTAAGGGTAACTGCTGTAGGAAACAAAGCTCTTCCCCTCTGGGTTTTAGGAGGGAGCTTTGGGCTCCTGGCCTGACAGGGCAGGCAGAGAGGGCTGGTGCAGGGATGGGGAGTGTGGGGAATGAGAGGTCTCTGTGCTCAGTGGTTGTGGATTGCTTCCCATGCTCCAGGCCTCAGCCTCTGGGGGATGTGCTCCCAGGTATGTTTGATGACTTGTTTTCATTGAATTATTTTTCTGCAAAGTGCTTCAAGCCTTAGCCACCTGCTGTTTTCTTTAAGTTCTGCATGTAGCTTTTCTCTAAAATTTTGAGGGTTTGAGCCAGGGCTGCTTGGCTGTACTCCTGCTCTGTTTTGCAGTGTCCCTGGGGTATAGGGAACAGGATCTGCAGGAGAAAATTGGACAAGCCAAGAGGTCTCCAGAGACTGTCTAAGAAAGCTTTCCGAAATGCAGAAGTTCTTCAAAGTCTTCCCTAACCTCTTCCTGGACTTGCTGTAGTGTCTCAATGGGGATGAAAGTGGAGTTCAGTACTAGCTTGCAGCTATCTCAGATCTGTAGCAGGGGAAAACTCGAGCCTTTTTTTCTCTCCTCAGTAGAAGCACGTGTTTGCAGGAATCCTCCTTCCCACCTCCCTCCCTCCCTGCTCCTCTCTGAGCTGAAACTGGGGCATCTCCCCCTGAAGCTGAGAGCAGCCCCTCTGCTGGGTGAAACCTGTGGGCTGCTTTTGATGTCCTTTCCTCACCCCTGCCCCTCCAAACTCTGAGCTTCCTCCACCACATCACCTGCTGTCCCAGCTCTCCAGGCTGGCAGGCAGCCCTTCCCAGAGCAGGAGGGGACGAGGGACTGGCTCGGAGGGGTTTGCAATGTAGGTTAGGCAGGGAAGGCTGCCGAGAGCGGTGACATCAGGGAGGAGGTGGGAGCAGCCCGCAGATGACGAGTCTGTGAGGTTGTGTCTCCGTGCGAGGTACGCCTTGCATTAGTAATGTGTTTGTAGCAAATAACGCTGGGCTGGCATGGGAATGTGGGTCACCACTGCCAGAACCGTGCGAGGAACAGGGAGCTGCTCGTGCTGTGCTGGGAAGCAAACGTATGTTACTGAGGGGTGTGTGGTGGGGGGAGATTTAGCTGCAGGAACTGCTCCAACTTGGACGTAGCACCTTTCTGCTGTGTGAGCGGGTGCTTCCTGCCCGGGGGTGCCTGTGGCTGGGAGTTGGGGTGAAATGGTGTTTGAGGAGGGGGGAGTGGGGTGCAGGGGTCTGTGTTCGTGCTGTGTGATATTCCTGTGATATTGGGACACTCCTGGACTTGCTTGCCAATGCTCTCTGTGGCCCTGGCCGTGCCTGGAGCATCCGAGCAGGCACGAGGAGGGATGCAGCCAGGCATGGATAACCAAGGATTCCAACGTATCTTCGTGACCTATTTCTGGTTCTGTTGTTCAGTGTGTGTGCTCAGGAAATCTTTCTGCTTTAGGGGGGTAGGGTTTGTTAGTGATAAGGAAAAGCCTGCTTGACTGCTTGTGAGATTTAAACCACAAACTAACCTGGTTTGGAAGGTGGATTTGGGCTGGGGAAGGTGGCTCTGAACCTGAATAGGAAGTGTTGGGGTGGGGATATACACATCCTACGAATGGGTATGGTACTTCAGTGCCAGAGAATTTGACCTCAGAGCAAGTCCCTTTAATGAAAAAGCTGTGTTGGAAAAGGCTGCCCTTGGTCAGCAGGGACTTGTTGAGTGGCTTCACTTCCAGCAAAGAGGCACTGGAGCAGAACAGGGCTGGTAGAGGGAGGCATGAATGGGCTGCCAGGCTGGAAGGAGCTCCTGCCTAGCTGCAAGTTGCTGAAACAGGCTTGTCCAAGCCCCTTGGAGTGAGTCAGGAACTTGTCCCACATCCTGTAAATACCTCCAAGACACATGGATGTGTTTCCATGGCTTGCCCATGTGCTCTCCAAGATGCCCAAGCTGTGATATCTCCATCTGTGCCTGAGTCATTATTTCCCCAGAGTCTGGGACCAGAACAGTGGCAGCAAGGTGGCCCTGAGGCCAAACCCAAGCTTGTGGGGCATCAGATTTGGAGGAAATGGGCTGTACCACCTGATGGAGCCGCAGGCAGCGAGCAGGAGTGAGGTGTTAGGTTGGGTTGCTCCGGCCAGAGGCTCCTGAGCAGGGGTGGGAACCTTCACTCCTCTCCCTACTGCTGCCATGTGCAGCTTGGGGCATGCCCACACCCACCTGTGTGCCCTGTGGCAGCCTCCTCCCAGGTCTGAATCATTCAGGGAGTGTTGTCTGCTCAGAGACAGCAGCAGTGGTGTCCCTCTGCCGTGGCCATGAATCTGCCCAGCCTGTCCAGCAGCCTGTGAGGCAGACACAGCCCTGAGGCAGGTGTTGGGTGACCTTCAGCAGGCCTGGGAGAGCCAGGCTGTCAGGGAAAGGACTATGCCCGGAGGGAGGAGATGGGGCTTGATCTGTCTGGGTGCTGCCTGCATGCTGTCCCTGCTGGTGGCTGCCAGCTGGGACAGGATCTTGGACTTGCAGGGCAAAGTATGGACAAGGTCAGGGGCTCAGACCAGCCTGATGTTGTAAGTTCTCTCTCTGCATGGTTTGTGGGCTTTGCTTTAAATTCCCTTTGCTTTTCTTATCCATTCAGAAACTCTAACCTCACAGCTTAGTTTTTTGGCTGCTCATCAGAGCTGCCCCCAAATCCCAGATCTGCTGGTGGGGCCAGCTCAGGGCCTCTCAGGAGTTCCAGGACTCCCTGCCTGGCAGATCCAAAGATCCATGCAGGAAGGGCTCTGTTATGGGCTTGTTTGCCTCAAAACTCCTTGTCCTACAAAACCCTTGCCCAGGGAGATGGGCTCTGGCAGTTGGTGCTGCACATTCCGTGGTCTGTAGAAGAGCTATTCCAGGATGACAGCTTGCTTGTGTCTACAAAGCCCCTTCTTTTTAGATGGAAAAGGAAAGACAAATTTCTGTGAATGTTTTGATTCTGGCTTTCCCTTCAGTGGCAGAACTGAGGAGTAAAACTGAGTCTTGAAATAATTTTGCTATCTACTCCTAAGCAAAACAAGGAATTCCTCTGTACAGCTGCACTCCTTGGGCTTCCCTCTGGCTCAGCCTGTGCAGCAGGGAGCAGGCTCAGGGCTTCCTCTCTGTGAAGGGAGAGGTGATGATGATGATGAGTGGTGGCAACAGCCTGCACAGCTGAGCAGCAGAGATGCTCCATGGTGGGAATCCCAGCTTCTGGCACTGGCTATGTGTCCTTGGGCAAGTCACTGCTGTGATGTGTGTGTGCTGGCTTACCTCCTGCAGGGCCTGAAAGGTTTCATTCACGTCCCTAATTACTCGCAGAGCCCTGAATGGAAGGGACAGGGGATGTGCCAAGTGTGTGACGTATCCCAGTACAACCTCATCCTTGTAAGCACTCTCCTTGTCCCCACTGGGGACACAGGGGTGGCTCAGAAAGGCTTGACAGTGGTGCTTTACCCTGAGTCCCCTTGGCCACCAGAGAGCCACTGTTTTGTGGCACTCATCCCTGTCCTGTGAGCTATTGAGGGCTCCTGGTGAGGCTGGGAGGGAAGATGTCCTGGTTCCTATAATTTCCTGGTTATTTTGGTATGTGAGTGGAAGGGGGAGGAGGGCGGCTGTGGAGAGAAGAGCAAGGTCAGTGAAGAACAAATGTGCCTCTGTGCACTTGTGATCACGCTGCCAGTTAATCGGCTTCGGTGCTCCAACTTTGCTCACAGAACTCATCAAGCACGGCCGGGAGAGGATAGAACAAACCATCAAGGCCTCTGGCTCCAGGCTCTGCTCATAGTGAGTATGAACCCCTCCCAGTGGGATGGGAGCCCTTTAACAGCTCGGCTGATAACCCCCGTGCTGGCTGGGTGGTGGATGGAGCTGGCTGGCACCGGGCAGATGTGGGCAGTCCCTGACACAGCTGCCAGCAACCGCTGCTGCCCGGCAGCTCCTGCCATGCCCAGCCTGGCTGTGCAGGAGGGGTTTCTTTGGGATGGCTGGGGGTCTGTGCCTGGTGGTGTGTGGGGGCAGAGAGTGGCAGCACCCACAGGTGAGATGTGGGGAGGCTGGTAGAGTCTTTGGGCCCCCTTTTTGGGAGGAGTGGGGCAGAGGGTGGCTGTGGGGATGAGAACCTTCAGAGCCTGAATGTAGTGTGGTGGGGCTGAGGGGGGTCTAAGCTCTCTGGGGCAGGGGAGAAGGGAGCAGAGTTGTTTTGTTCATGTTATCCTCTTAATTCTGGTTTTTGCAAAGAGCATAGTTGTACCCTTAAAACCAAAGGGGGGAATCCCTGAGGCAAGGCTCCCCCATCCCCAGTGATGCTCAGGCAGGATGGATCTGAACCAATGAGTGTTCAAGTCTGGCTTCTCCAGCCCCAGCAAAAGCTGCACCAGGCAGACAAGGGATCTTTAATGCCTCTGCTCACCAAGCCTGCCCTGGCTGCCATGGCAGCTCCTCTTCCTTGCAATGTCAACATCCCTGGGCTGCCCTGGTCTGACCTGGCCTGGGGAGTGGCCTCTGGCTGCTGCCAGCCCCATGGAGTGTGGTGCCTGGACCTAGCTGGACTCTCCTGGCTGCCCTCTGGGGATACTCACTGGGCTGCAGCATCCCTGTGTACTGGGGAGGGGGCTGCATCTCTGCCAGGAGAGCTGTGACTTCACCTGGCCTGGTGCTGTGCTGCTGCTGGTCCTCATGTGCTTGTGCAGCTTCTGTTATTGTGAGTCAGAGGCCAATATTAGATAAGCTTGTGCAGCCAGGAGCCGTGCTCTCCTACTCTCCTGACAGCACACAGCATTCCCTGCCTCCCCAGAGTGCAGGTATCCCATCCTTTGGGGGCAGCAGTGCTGGGGAGCTCAGCTGAGCCCTCCTATGATGGAAGGGGTGCACACACTGGGGCTTGCACTACTCCCCAGCAAGTTAATGGTGTGAAGCTGTTTCTCTCTCAGATTTTGTACTCAACACTGACTTCCTCTTCTTTTTCCAAGTGCTGAGCGAGTTGTTTTTTTAATGGATCGTTCCCGGAGCCCAGACAAAAGCACCCAGGTGAGATCATGGCTCTGATCAAGCAAATCCTCACCTTTGGGACAAAGGGAGCTGGTACCTTTAGATGAGAAACAAGAAGAGATCCTGTGTTAGCCAGCTGGGAGTCTTGCTGCTGCCCTGTCCTGGGGGTGATGCTGGGTGGGGAAAACCAGCAGGGAGGCCCTTTTGGACAAGGCGTGATGTCCCCAGAGTCTGGGGACAGTAAGGTTCCTAGGGAACAGGAACAGCGCGTGTGTGTATGTATCCCCTTGTCTTTGGGAAGAGGGAGGCTGCAGCTTTATGGTGCTGGATGTGCACAAGGCCACCTAAAGAGACCTTAAATGTTTGCTGAAGTATCCACTGGGTGTTTATCAATGGCTCTGTGTGAGGGTTGCTGTGTTGAGGAAGGGAAAACCCAACCTGCAGCATAGTCCTTGTGACTAAAATTCTTGTTACCTTCTCTAGGCTTCAACTCCAACCGAAAACATCAACCTCGGACCTTCTGCTAACCCCAAGTAAGCTCCCTGCAAAGCCAGGTAGGGAGTGGAGTGTGAAGAGACTTGGTAGGGGGATGCAGACGGTCCCTGTGTGTCACAGGGTGGTGTCTGCAGGAATCTGGGCAATTACATTTCTTTAACATCATATGTGCCACCAATGCACCAGCTTCCAAGACTAAGCTGGAGCTGGTACTCACTATAATCATCCTTTCCTGGCCACATCTGTAGCCCCTTGTCCCTTTTCTTTTGAGAGGTAGTAAGGGAAGGTCTTCCTTGTCACTGCGGGCTTCCTGCCTATCTTTCTCTAGGAACAGGGATAAACTGTATTCCCTGTGAGGGCATCACTCAGTCCTTGCAGGAGCTGTCACAGCTGCTGCCTTCAGCCCCTGCCCTGCAGGGTGCACTGACACACACAGTGTGAATCCTGAGCTGCCTGGGACGAGGGTCACCCACCAGCGCCCTTTAATCCCTTCCACAAACACTCGTTTTTCCAAGCAGGAACTCTGCTTTGATGGTGGTGTTACTGTTGCGTGTTTCTCTCCCAGAAACATTAACTTGTTTCATTCTTGCCCAACAGTGCCAAGCCAACAGACTTTGACTTCCTGAAGGTTATTGGCAAAGGAAGCTTTGGCAAAGTAAGTGAGCTTGCGCAGGTGGGCTGTAGCTGTTTGGAGGCAGCTTAGCAGGAAAATGTGTTGCTGAAGGAGTTTCTGGCTGTGTCCTTTGCTTGCACCTCTCCTGAGGTGTTTGGCCTGACTGGGACTGAGATTAAAAAAAACCCGAGACACTGTTATTAATAGTCCATTCTAACTTTAAGGTACTTCAACCTCTCCAAGGACTGAAGCGTGAGGAATTTTATGCCCAGGGTGGTGGTGGTAAAGAGCACTGCTTGATTCAAAATAAGTTTCAAACTTGTTTAGCAAAAGATCTCCAGAGAAACCTGGAGACAGGCAGGATTCACTGTAAATGGGACTGGCCCCAAATGCCCCAAAACTATCTCCTATTGGATGTCTACAGGATATATGTAGAGATATTGAGTGCTTTTCTTCTGGCAATGAAAAGTGCTGGGAATTGAGAGGGCTGTATCTTGGTCTTTAAAACCCTGTAGCTGGCCGTCTGAAGGAGTTTTCTGTGTATAATCACTCACAAGAGTGTTGAGCTAATGAGGACACACTGACCAAGGTGAGACAGACAGCTGTGACCAGCACCTTCTGTTGCAGGTTCTCCTGGCCAAACGCAAGTGTGACGGGACTTTCTATGCAGTGAAAGTCTTGCACAAGAAAACCATCCTAAAGAAAAAGGAGGTATGTCTGCTCTCCTGGGCTGTTCTGGAAATTGTGGTTGGTGTATGGGCTCTCTGGGTAATGTAATTGGGGTACCTGGCATTCAGGCAGGCAGTTCACATGTTAAACATGGATTTGTTGTGCCATGAGAACAAAGAACAGAGATTAATTAGGTCAGATAGGAGGGAGTGGTTCTCTTTTTGGGGCTGGAAATGACCCTCGAGGGCTCCCAGCTTCCACCTGCTTTGAAAACAGCAGTGAGCCCTTAGGGCAGGCTGGGCTGGATCCTTGCCTGAAACCTGAATGCTTTGTCTGCTTTTTGATAGCAAAACCACATCATGGCAGAACGCAACGTGCTCCTGAAAAATGTCAAGCACCCCTTCCTTGTGGGACTCCACTACTCCTTCCAGACCTCAGAGAAGCTTTACTTTGTGCTTGACTATGTAAATGGAGGAGAGGTGAGTGCACTTCCAGGCTTTGTTTTAATCCTTTTTTGTCCTCCACAAGCATGCTGCCTTATTTAAAATTATTTCTTGTCAGAAGATAATGATGTTGAGGGATAATGTTGTTTTGACTGCTGGCAAGGAGCTGCCAGGAATACCTGGCAGGATACCTCACCTGTAAATTGAGTCAGGATCTTGCTGGCTATGACCTGAGTCAGATGATTTCCAAAGTAAAGATTCTGAGAAAAGCAGTATTGGGGCATTTTAAAATTCTGTGGAGAATGTGGGAAATACTGGCATTGGTGAGGTTCAGGGAAAGCTCCTTGTGGGCCAGCTCTGGATCCATGTCTACTGCTTAGAGGTGATGTCATTGCAACTTTCTAGACTTTTTTTGTCCTGTAGAAGCGTACTTTTCTCAGCTGTCTTTCTGTGCTATCTGAAACTAGCTGGGAGACATTGTTAAGGTGGCGATCTGGCCCAAACTGGGTTCATGCTCTGGGTTCATGCTGGGGATGTTTGCATGTTCAGCTCTCTGCACATATCACTTCTCATGACCATACTACCACTGTAATCAGCCTGTGGGTTGTAGTAAGCTAGGAGCTTAACCAGGTCAGCAGATGATGGGTGGGAGGTGGGAGGTGAGAATTCTCCCCAATTAATTTTTGTGAATTATTTTTGTGACAAGAAATTAAACATTTTTTAGAAAGATGTTTGGATTGCTTAAATTCACTTGGCTTGGGCTTTTTCCACGCTATTAATGTGCTACCTGCTGCAAATCACTTTTCGCTTATGTAGCTGGCTTTCAGCCTTGCTCCAGATTAGCCTTCATTTATTTGGAGACATGATCAACCCTCTCACCTTCCCGTAGCTCTTCTTCCACTTGCAAAGGGAGCGCTGTTTCCGTGAGCCCCGGGCCCGTTTCTACGCTGCAGAAGTGGCCAGTGCCATTGGGTACCTGCATTCCCTAAACATCATCTACAGGTAAGGCAGGGGCACCAAGCCTGCCCAGGCAGGGGCTGCAGTGTTGGGAGGGAAAGGGATTCTCTGGGGAAGTGAAATGCAGGACTGGAGTAGCTGAAGAATTAGCTACCCTAGACAAGGCTGTGCTGCTGGCACTTCACCCTGCAAGACCTGATGGGTAATAAACCATTCTTTCCCCTTCCCAGAATCAGTCTGAGGGTATTAAGTTAAAAGACATAAAATAAACCTGGCTCAATAAGTAAGAAATCATCTCTCAGTAACAATTTATGCATGGAAAAGCAGGCTAACACCTGATCCTGTGTGAAAAGAGCCTATTTATGTTTGCATGTATTTGTACTGATGGGAGTCTGCAATTTGGGAAGATCTTGGTGATCTGCATTGGGAGGCATTGTTAGCTCTTGTTCTTAACTGAAGCAGTTTCAGATCCATGTTTTCTAAATATCTGGCCAAATGTGCTTAAACAGCACTTTGTCTTGCAGGGACTTAAAGCCTGAGAACATCCTCCTGGACTGCCAGGTATATTCACAGCTTGGGCTGTCTTCCTGCTGGCTTTAAAAACATCAGGACCACAAGCAGAGGGCAGTGGCTTTGCAAGCTGGACTATAGCTGATGGCATGGCATGGATTTTTGTCTGTCTGCCCCACTGCACTGCTGTGCAGATCCTGGAGGCATCAGTGGGCTTGCCCTCTGAAGAACTGCATGGTTTTGGGGCTCATTCCCAGAAGCTGGGACCTGACCTGTGGGTGGGGGTGAAGAGCAGTTCACTGCTTCAGCTCTGGTGGTGACTGTTACATAAACTGGGATAAAGCAGCAGAAAATCACAGCAGTGCTGGAGCTCTTCATGGCTATCTAGCTGTAGAAAAAGAAAAAATAACTTGAGACTGTATATTTTTTCTACAAGCTCTAATACCTGTACTATAGGATGATCATAATGGGAGGGAGGTGAGGAAGATGAGCAGTGGGAACCAACCCCCACATGAGATGCAATGCATAGGCAAATACTTGGAAATCCTGTCTCCTCTCCACAAAGCGTGGGACAAGCTAAAGTTTCTCTTTTCTTTAGGGACACATAGTATTGACAGACTTTGGACTCTGCAAAGAAGGAATGGAGCAAGAGGAGACAACTTCTACCTTTTGTGGCACTCCTGAGGTACTGCATGTGCTGGGGCTTTGCTGAGACCTGGGGGCTGGAAACCTTCAGGCACTTGGTGCTCTTGCTCTTGGGCTTATGTGACACCTCAAAAAATTATGGGCTCTCTGAGGTTGTCAGCCTGAAGCTGGAGTTCAGATAAGGCCTTCCCTACCCAGCAGACAGCTACCTGTCACAACACAGCAATTTTGGAGTATGAACGAGCTATTGGGGCAGGAGTTCCTGCACTTGGAAATGGCCAAGCTTGTGAAAATAGCTGGGGAGGTGGAGAAAACCTTGTCCTTGGGAGCAGGATGTTTACCTGCTCTGGGACCCCAGCAGTGCAGAACAAGGAGCCTGCTGGTACTGGCATGCACAGGACCTTGCTGTGCTCTCCTGTGTGTCCTTGGTGCACGCTGGAACTGCACAATGCCCTGTGCAGAGGAGGGGACCAGGCTCCCCCTTGGAATGCAAACACTGCTCAGAGGGGAGGAAATGCCTTTCCTCCAGTGCACTCCAACTGGTTTTCGCGAAAACCTATTTTGTCTGACTTCTTGGAGGCTTTTTTGCCTGCTTCTTACTGAGCCTGGGGATTTTGGTAGCACTTCAGCCTAGGTAATGTACCTGTCCTGCTGCTTTCCCCAGGCAGCTTGGCAAAGGGTCTGTAAGCATGACACCTTTCAGCATTCAAACTCAACAGAAGTGGGCAAAAATTTCTCCCCTTTTTCAGTGTGGCTTCAGTTATGCAATAGCACAGCATGAACCAAGCAGGAATGTTTGAGCTTTGTTTTCTAGTTTTGGTGTGTGTTAGTGTTTTCCTGTTCTAGACAGAGCCGGATAGTACACAGAGGTAATTCTGTGGGAAACTGTTCTGCAGACTGCTCAGTTTCTTGCCTGCTGCGCCTCGATGGTGGCGCTTGGTAGTTTTGCTGCTTTGGACAGACTTACTGGGGCTGAAAACTGCAGCTTTTTAAAAAATACAGGAGTTTTTTAGGGTGTGATGTCTCATAGTGGGACAGGATTGCTGGCTGAATTGTGGCAGGTACACAAATGGAGAAGTCCTCTCAAGGAAAAGAATGTCCTGTAGCCTGCAAGAACACTTTGAGGGCTTTGGAAGGTGTCTCTCAACCCCATTGCTCCAAAGCAGGTGGAGAATTTATTAGATAATACAAGGAAAAGCATCTGTTTATTCTTAATGCATTCTCTCAACTTGAGCTGCAGCCAGGTTTGGGCAAAGCCCTTCCTTTATAATTTGACTCCAATATTTCCTTCTGACTTCCCAGTATCTGGCTCCTGAGGTGCTGAAGAAGCAGCCCTATGACAGGACAGTGGACTGGTGGTGCCTAGGAGCTGTCCTCTATGAAATGCTCTTTGGACTGGTAAGTTTGGAAATGGGCTGGTTCACTTTACATAGCGGAATTTGATTTGCAAAAGCTGTGGTGTGAGGTTGGTCCTCGTGTTCACGAGGTACTTGCTGGTGCCTAGGAGCTGTCCTCTATGAAATGCTCTTTGGACTGGTAAGTTTGGAAATGGGCTGGTTCACTTTACATAGTGGAATTTGATTTGCAAAAGCTGTGGTGTGAGCTTGGTCTGGTGTTCATGAGGTACTTGATAGACAACTAAATCCTGAATTAATGATCTGGTCCAGTCCTACCACTGCCCTTTTGAGCAGAGGTGTGGCAGGTTTCCCTCATCTAGCCACTGCAGGGCTCATTTTGACCTGCAGTGTGTGGCTCCTTCTGGTAGCTCGTGTTTTACCTGGCTGCTTCTCCTCTCTTTCAAATTAGCCTCCTTTTTACAGCAAGGATGTGTCTCAGATGTATGACAACATTCTGCACAAGCCACTGCAGATCCAAGGAACCAAGACTGTGGCAGCTTGTGACATCCTTCAAGGACTTCTTCACAAGGACCAGAAGAGGAGGCTGGGTGCCAAAACAGACTTTGTAGGTGGCCTTCACTATGAGCAGGAGGGAGATGGATGGGGAAATTTTTATTCTGAGCATTTCTTTCATAACAGCTCTGCCTTGGAAAAACACTCCCACACAGTCTGTCCCTTCAGCCTCCTACAAGGGACACATGGGGTTGACTGGGATTTCCAAAGGGAGAGGGGAGTGGCCAGCTAAGGACACCAGTGCGTGATGGGTCATTTCCCTTCGGGGGATTCCTGAACCAGGACCCTCCTGCATTAAGGATTTGTGGATTTGAGTATGAGAGAACTTCCAATCAACCACTTAAAGCTGTGAGATCAGGTGCTGGAAAATGAGTGTGGCAGAAAATTGATTTTTCTTTCCTGCTTTCTGTACAGCTTGAGATAAAGAGCCACGTATTCTTCAGCCCAATAAACTGGGATGATTTATATCACAAGAGGATTACCCCACCATTCAACCCCAATGTGGTAAGTGGATAATTCTGCCTGTTTTACAGGCAGGATCCTCTCCAAATATCTCCTGCTGATGCTGAGGGTTCCACGGTGTGGGTTGGGACCTGCAGATGCAGTAGTGACGGCTCTTTTGGAAGAGCAGCTGTGTTGGGCTGTGTGAACACAAGGGTCTGGTTTGGGTCTGCTCCCTCGATGATTGTGTGTCTCTGCTCCTTGGCTTAGGCTGGTCCAGCTGATCTGCGACACTTTGATCCCGAGTTCACCCAGGAAGCCATCTCTGCCTCCATCACCCGCACGCCTGACCTCGCAGCCAGCAGCTCCAGTGCCTCAGACGCATTTTTAGGATTTTCATATGCACCAACTGAAGAGGACATTTAAGTTTTACAGAGGCTTGGTCAAGCCATATTTTAAATGAATGGGGTTTATAGGTTTTTTGGGTTTTTTGGGTTTGGTATTTTTTTTCCCTTTTGAGAGGTTTGGTACTGTCCTTTGTTGGTCAAGCCATATTTTAAATGAATGGGGTTTATAGGTTTTTTGGGTTTTTTGGTTTTGGTATTTTTTTTTCCCTTTTGAGAGGCTTGGTACTGTCCTTTACTCATGGTTTAAGGAAATTGGCACTAACACACTAACTGGCTGGGATGGAACAGAGCTCTTAATTTTTGCTGTTTGGTGGATTTGCTCCCTAAATGTTCTCCTCCCAGGGAAAGTGGGACACTGACTATGGTTTTCCCAGAGTGTCTTGTTCTCCTTGGCAGAGTTGTATTCACTCTGTGACTAAATTTATGGTTGAGGTATCTATCATAATTCACATCAACAGCCATGTCCCTGTAACTGGACACATTTATTTTACTTTTTTTTTTTTTTGTGGACCTATGCTCAGCTGTGTCCAATGTCCTTCTCAAAGCCCTCAACAGAAAAGGAAACTCTTCACACCACCATGAACAGTGACTTCCTTCCTTTACATGAACTTTGTCACTCAAGCTGCTCATCCTGGGCTGAGTGAAAAACTGCTCATCACTTATTGCTGCAAAGGCAGCTGCAGATCTGTAAGTCCTGAACTGCACTGTGGCCTTTCACACCAGTCTGATCCTCCTCAAAGTGAGTGGATTATCTTTCTGGCCCAGGATTGGGATGCTACTGAAGCAACAACGAGGCTGTGATGGAGAAGACAATGTGTGGGAGGAAAATCCCAGATCAGGGGGGAGTGGGAAGAGAGGCTGAATTGCTTGGAAAAATAAAAATACCTTTATAGCTGAACTCTGGTTGGGGGTAAGGGCTGCTTTCACACCATGTGCTTGACTTGCCCCAGGCACAGCAACACCACTGTGATGACACAGGGCAGTGAGCAATGAGTGGTGGCCATGCTCCAGCACTCACCTGAAAATGCCCATCACTCATGCGCAACAGTTATTTATTCTGCCTTAATTTAAAAGCTGGTGTATTAATTCTATGTCACTTCCCTTTTTTTTTTTTTTTTTTTAAGCTGTTCTGTGCTGTTGCTGTGGGGAGGAGATGGAGCTCAGAGCAACACGGGGATAAGCAAGGGGCTTTCTAAAAGTTGTGTGATGCTCGTGCTGTGGGGAACTTTGTGCTGGTACCACTGTGTGTTTTGATTTTTTTTTTTATCAGGTTCTATCTTGTATATGCTGAAGTCATTGGAAATATGACATGGTTTATATTAAAGTTGCAAACACTCATGTGCATCTCTGGGTGTTCTGGATAAGAGGGAAGGAGGCTCTTTGCCCTGTGCTGGGCCCGAGAGCACAGGGCTGCAGGTGGAAAGTCACTAATGCTGCTGGGTTTAATTTAAAGAGGAATTCCCTAATTTAAGCACATACACAATCATGTAAGGGTTGAGGATCTTAAAGGCCAGAGGCAGGGATACCTTCTACTCTCCCAGGCTGCTCCAAACCTCATCCAGCCTGGCCTTGCGCACTGCCAGGGCTGTGGCAGCCACAGCTTCTCTGGACAACCTCTACCAGGGCCTCCCCACCCTCACAGGGAAAAACCTGCAGCTGTCAGGATTGGGGTTTTAGACACAAGCAAAATCAAAGGCCCAGAAACGTCAAGAGGGGTTCAGGAGCCCTGACAGGCGCGGACCGGGGCCAAGCGCCCGGGCTGAGGGCGGGCGGGAGCGCGCCGCTCTGTCCCCGCCCCGTCACACCCCCCGCCCTCCGCGGTGGTACCGCCCCGCCCCTTTCCCTGGCGAGGAGTGGAGCGAACAGCACAGGGCTGCAGGTGGAAAGTCACTAATGCTGCTGGGTTTAATTTAAAGAGGAATTCCCTAATTTAAGCACATACACAATCATGTAAGGGTTGAGGATCTTAAAGGCCAGAGGCAGGGATACCTTCTACTCTCTCAGGCTGCTCCAAACCTCATCCAGCCTGGCCTTGGGCGCTTCCAGGAAGTGGCAGCCACAGCTTCTCTGGACAACCTCTACCAGGGCCTCCCCACCCTCACGGGGAAAAACCTGCAGCTGTCGGTATTGGGGTTTCAGACACAAGCAAAATCAAAGGCCCGGGAACGTCAAGAGGGGTTCAGGAGCCCCGACAGGCGCGGACCGGGGCCAAGCGCCCGGGCTGAGGGCGGGCGGGAGCGCGCCGCTCTGTCCCCGCCCCGTCACACCCCCCGCCCTCCGCGGTGGTACCGCCCCGCCCCTTTCCCTGGCGAGGAGTGGAGCGAACCACTGCGGTGACCTCTGCACTCGAGGGGGGGGAAACGCCACCCGCGCATGCGTCCGGTCGGAGCGTTGCTAGGGCGCGCGTGGTGACGGCGGCGCGGCGGGGGCTCGGCGGGGACCCGCGGGCGGCCGGAGCGCTGGCGCTGGCCCGCTGCTCCCCAGAGCCCTCCGGCAGCCCCGGGGGAGCCTATGGAGAGCGGCCCGCGCAATGCCATAGTGTTCAACGCCTCCAAGGGCGAGAGCTTCACGCCGGCCGGCGGCTACAAGGCCCTGCGGAAGAGGCTGCGCGGCAGCTGGAAGGTGCAGAGGTGAGGGGCGGCTCTCGGGGCACGGCGAGGCCGCGGCGGGCGGGTGTGGGCCGCGCTGGGCACCCGAGTGGCCTTTGGGGGGGTGTGTCGTGAGCTGAGGCCGCTCTCTCGCCTTGGTTGCGCCCTGTTGCATCTTCTGCCGCTGCGGGATGCTGTGCGTGGCTCTCGGGAGCTACAGCTCACCTGTAGGAGATGGAGTGTAAGCTGGAAGGATGGAGCTCCTCGTACAGGTTTGGGAGTGTGTCCCGATTTAGAGTCTGGGACAAAGAGAAACGGGCTTTGTAGATGGTACTGTGTGTCTGACCGCTGAAAAATGGCATGGCACGGAGCTGATTGGGAGAGGATATCAGGGAAAGGTTCTTCCCCAGAGGGGCTGGCACTGCCCAGGCTCCCCAGGGAATGGGCACGGCCCCGAGGCTGCCAGAGCTCCAGGAGCGTTGGGACAGCGCTGCCAGGGGTGCCCAGGGTGGGGCTGTTGGGGGGTCTGTGCAGGGCTGGGGCTGGGCTCCATGGTCCCTTCCACCTCATCTAATTCCATGAAATGTGGCCAGGCCAAAAAGAAGAAAATGAAAAATAGCAGGAAGCTCCTCAGGTGCAAACTTTAATAGCAGCTGTGACAGCTTGCAGCAGTTCTGGATCTGCCACAGTGCCTTGTCAGAGGAGCTTTACTGTTTAGCTGGTTGGCATTTGTAAGGATTATTTTTGCTCAAGTTGTCAACTTCAAACCCAGATAAAAGGATGCAAAGTGACTGAAGTGATTTGCTTTGTGTTCATTTGCAAGTCCTTTATAAAAAAAAAAAAAAAAGGAAAAAGTTGTGGTTCAAGATTATATCGAAGAATAATGTGTGTCTTTATTAATCTATTCATAGCTTAAAAGATGAGATCACTTCTGAGAGACTGTTTGGGGTGAAATTGTGGATTACAGCAGGACCAAGAGAGAAGTTCAGTGCTGATGAGGTAAGGAGTCAATAATTGTTTAAAAGCACATTTTAAAATGTGCTTAAGTAGGAAAGAACAAGACAGAAGACTTTGCTGTAATGCTGCTTTAAATGACTTCATATACATTGGAATTTGAATGTTTTTCTTATAGGACAAAGCTAAATGCATGCAGTTAAAATAATTTCTCTCCCCTCATCTCAATATAACTTCAAGCAGTTTTGTGGGTAGCTTCTCATGTTTGTTTTTTTCCTGGCTCTTTGTTGATTTCTAGTTTTCCGTTCTGAAGAAATTCCTGGAGGATGGTGGGGCCATCCTGGTGATGCTGAGAGAAGGTGGAGAGTCCCGGAATGGCACAAATATTAACTTTTTGTTAGAAGAATATGGGATCATTTTCAATAATGGTAATGGGGCTCACTGCTACCTTTAGTCATCAATTTGAAAATTGTATCCACAAAGGCTGAACCTGCTCTTTTCAAGCCAAGCAGATCTTTCTCACAAAGTATCTTTTGATCTAAAAGATTTTTTTCTTTAAATCTGCATGCACGTGGCAAAGTAATATTGGAGCACAGCAAAGGCTTTCCATGGACAGAGTACATGGCCAACTTGGCTATTTCCATTCCTTTGCTGTAGTTGTTAGTTTTAATTTACTAAAAAAAAAATTATTGGTAAATTTCTTGATTAAAAAGCCATTAATTTAAAACATTTTTCCACACATTTTTCCACACAGAATCACTTAATGCTCACGCTGAATAAGAAGTGGCACTTTTCTTTAGCAGACCAATTAAATGTCACTCATTAGTTTTGTGCTGCCAGTGTGGAGAAAAACCCCAACAACCCAAGGCAAGTGTGTGTCAGTGTACATAAAATATTTGGGGTCTTTGGTGGCTTTTCTAGACCATGCATCATTTTTGCATCAATAGGACTCAATTCATCAGGTGTTTGGAAGATGTATAAAAAAATAGAGTTGTAAAAGTCAGTACAGGCTGCTTTAACTGGATCATCTGTTTGTCTCTTTTGCTTTGCAGAAGATGGTGATGTGTTTAACTTTTTGTATTTTTATTTGAATTTGCAAACAGATTCCTATCCTAAATCTATTCTGTCCAAAAGGAAACAGTAGTGAAGGCTGATTTCAGTTCTTTTGGTAGCCAAATGGCAGCTTTGTGGTGTTAGAAGCAAACACCCAGGGAATCCAAGAGCTAAACTATTTTTTTTTTGCTAAATCTAACACATTGATCAGCTAAGATGTCAATTTCTGTATTTTTTTCTTTTTGCAAGATGCTGTAGTACGAAATGTGTATTACAAGTACCACCACCCAAAAGAAGCACTAATCTCTGATGGAGTTTTGAACAGGTAAATATTTGGGGTATGTGAATCTTCAGAGTAAACTCTTGTAAACTTGGATTGTTTTCAGTAAGGTTTCTTTTTCAATATCTCGTAGGGGAATCAGTGAAGCTGCAAAGAAACCAGTGCTTGAGACAACAGATGAAGATGGAAGGGGCCATGACTCTCAGTAAGTGTTTTCTCTGAGGAAACTGATGTCAAAATGTGTAGAACACCTTAGAACTGGCAGGTTTGTGATTAGCAGCAGTACACAGTGCTTATGGTGAGGTTTTCTAATGCATTTCTTATGTTCTTGTGCTTCTTAGGTTATATCTGGAAAGGAGAATCTGTTTAGTAGAGCTTGGTAACCTCTGAAGGAGCAGGAGGGATAGGTTTCAAAAGGAATTACTGTTCTCATGACCAGATCTTGTTTGTCTCTAGTCTATGGGTTTGAGTTTGAATCTGTGAATCTGTCCAGCCTGCCTGGTGCATGCAGGTGCTTATGGAATTCCTGTATTTCCTGCAGAGCTCTCACCTTTGTTTATCCTTTTGGAGCCACACTGAATGTGATGAAGCCAGCAGTGGCAATTCTGTCCACAGGGTCTGTCTGCTTCCCTCTCAACAGGCCTATCCTGGCTTTCTATCAGCATGAGGTAGGAGCTGCCTGGGGCCCTCCCTGCATTCCCCTGCCCCACACAAACGTTTTGAGTGGATCTTTTGGGGGTGCTTACAAACCCACCTCAGGTTTTGGTACATCTTCAAACTCCAGATGAGCCCAGTGACTCCTGACTCTTTTTATGGTAAACTTCTTTGCATGGGGCTCAGAGGAGAATTAATGAGATGGTCAGCAAAGATTACATATTTTTGGTTGACTGGTGGATATCTTTAGTTCTTTAAAGTTTTGGGGTTTTTTTCCTGCTGTTTTAATAATAATCTTGCTTTGTAAGTATAGCATATTGAATTCCAAGGTTCTCACTTTGGAACCAGTAGATTTTTCATGTGTTGTTTTACTCATCCATCCCTGTTAATTTATAAAAATAAATTCATAAATTTAGTAGTAAAGAGTTACAAGCACAGGATTGATATTGTTAATGAATATAAACAAGTTAACACTGTTTATTACTATGTGGAGAAGTAATGCAATGCAATAACAATTGACTCTAAAACTATGATTTGGAAGGAATTTTTGCTATATTGTATTCTTTGTTGGTAGAGTAAAGGTGGAAAGATGGCAGCCCTGGGATCTTCCCACATGTTCAATGACCAGTATTTAGATAAAGAAGAAAATGGTAAGATCATGGTAAGTTTGAGTTTTTTGGGAAAAAACACCCTGTTGTATCTCCACAACATTTGCAAAGTACTCCAGGCTCAGCTTCATTTTAGAGCAAGACAGCTATGAAATGGATTCAGTATAGGAATTCTCAGCCAATACTAAGAGATATTCTTTGGTTTATTATCTTATGTTAAATTTTTTTCATGGTATGTTATTTAATAGATTTAATAGAATATTTAAGCATAGTATGAGATTACTTGGATCCTCCTGAAAGTAATTGAGTTTTGCCCTTCCTTAGGATGTGCTTTTCCAGTGGCTCACAACATCAGATATTCACTTAAACCAGATGGATATGGAGGACCCTGAGGTAAGAGAGATCCATCTCAAGGAGGTGAAGAACAGTGGGATCAGCGTGGTCTTGGCACACCCTGTGTTTAGCACAGAGTGGCTAACAGCAAGATGGGTGCTGCTGTTGTTGCAGAACCTTTATTCATGGTCTAGGATTGAGTAGACAGATGGCTCAGTGTAAAAATTAATGGTACCACTCAGCCTTAGATTGCTTTTCATCATCAGATATAATTTGTGAAAGTGTCTTTCCAATTTTCCCGTGTTTATGAGATGGACTGAGACAAGAGGAATGTACAAGAAGGAAAAGCAAATTTTCCATATGTGAGTGGGGATCAACCTGTGTGTCAGTTTTAGTTGTATACAAATGCTGTTTTTATTTGGAAATATCTTTATGTGATTAAGTTGCATGCTCCATGTGCATAAAAACCAACAGTTTTGCAGCGCTGATTAGTGAGCTGTCTGTTTTAAAGAATTAACAGAAATCCAAATAAAGCACTCATGCGTTGCGCAGCTTTACAGCTGAGAGTTACTGATCTAGTGAGCTGCACTGCAAAGGGCCATACCTGGTACAGAGTGAAATAATTCTGGGTTGGCCATTTCAGATGACGGGGGTGTGTGTCTGTGTGTCCAGATTTCAGACTACACCGTGCTCCCAGACACAGCCGCGCTCTCCGAGCAGCTGCGAGTGTGCCTGCAGGAAGGAGATGAGAACCCCAGAGACTTCACAAAGCTGTTTGATACATCCCTTTATCAGCTGGACACAACTGCCCTCCCTTCAGTTATCAAGTCAGCAGCTGTAATTTTCTTATTACTTATTTATTTATTCCATTTGGTGTTCTGCATTTTCTGTTTGTGCTGAACTGTGTCTCCTCAAGAGCAGGAAGGACTGAGCATTTTGGATATGAATATACCAGAAGATAGATTTGTACAGTGTGGCAATGATGTTTTCTCTTGCTTCTTGTTTTAGCTGTAGTTTCTGGCCCTCTTTTCTCTTTTTTTTTTCCTGACTACATGAGATTTATTGATCTGATATTTTGGGAACTGTCTGCAGTGAAGCTGGGCATCTTCTGGAGTGATAACTGGGAACTGCTCATTTTTCCACTTTTGAATTATTTGGCACTTACTGAAAAATGCATTTCAGTCACCTTTGCATTTTCCAAAAAATATGTTTTGAGGTTTACCCTTTGCTTGGTTTTAACAGTTTGTGTCACTATCAGTTTTGTCCATCATTACTCCCCTGTTGCCCAGATCATGTTGGAGCACTTGGAGTAGTGGCAGCTTAACACAGATTCCATGAAACTCCACTCTTCTAGGGACACTTTTTCTTCTTACTCTGTATTTCTTGTATTTTCACTAGTTGTGAATTCACAGGAGGATCTCCCTTCTGACCCCATAACAAACACTTTTTTAAAAAAGTAACTATTTCTATTGACTTCCTTATAAACTTTTTTGAAATCCCAGTTCTGCTTGTTTTGTGCTGGATTGCTTTTCCTTCATCCGTGCTCATCCTTCTAAAAGTTGATTGTAGAATTGAGCTGTGATTTTTTTTAGTCACCTTATATATCCACCTATCATTATCTTCCCCTCTCAGAACTTTAATTTTCTCACTGTAGAAGTTATTTATTACTGATCTGTAGTTCTATGAGGTCCTTATAAAATGGACATCCCATTTTTTTGTGCTGTTACGGTGCAAAACTTTGATGCTGGTGTGTTCATCAAATCTATCGCTATAGCCTGCTAGTGGAAATAGTTGTGGTATCACTTTTTACCTCATACTTTGAATTTTTCTGTGCTATAGAGCTTATGAAGAGCTGAATATGAAACATGAACCCCTCCAACTCATTCAGCCTGAATTTGAGACTCCACTACCTGTCCTCCAGCCAGCTGTGAGTAATTTTCTTGCTTGTACAGTACAGGGAAAACCCTTCTCCAAGAAGGTTGCACTTGATAATCTTGGATGTCTATTCAAAACTTAATAAGTCTCTATATAATTTGTTTCATGCAAAAACTCTGTGTGTCATTTCCATGGCTCTGTAGAAGAAGTAGTGAGAAATGCTGTAGTAATAATTAATCACTTGGGAGTTGACTACACTGCAGGGACCATCTTTTAGGAAAGAGCACTCATTTACACTTCCAATTTATTAAAAGAGCTTCAAAATGTAGTGTGTGGTACCAAAAGAGAGTCCTTGTGTAGGGAGCCTTTGATTGAGTAGCTGCTCCAGTCCTGTGAGGTTCTGGCTCAGCCTTCCCAGTGAAAACAGGATGTGGTATTTGAGAAAGCTGTGGTGGTGAAGGTGCTGCACTGTCTGCTGCCAGGGAGGAGCCAGTCTGTCCTGCTCTGCCTCCATCTCCCACATCCTCAGGGGAAGCAGAAAGTGGAGCATTGGTCTTTTGCAGCAGGAGCTGATCAAACTTTAACCAGCAATGTTTGGGCTGACAGCACCAACACGAGCTATGGGGGTGTCAAACTCATTTCAGAAGGCAGGAATCTCTGAGTATCTGAATTTTGCCATCATTGTTCCATCCTGCTTTACCCTGGCCACTGAGAAAGCATCACTGGGATCCTTTAGAGCTTCAGGAGTGCAACTGGAAGTGGTGTCTCATTCACTGCTTTTTAAAAACCCAAGTCCAGCTTGTGACATAAATGGTGCCTGTATGAAACAGAAAGTATTCTGACCAGAATTGATGTCAGTATGTTTTCAGGGTGAGCTGTTAGGGCCAATTTAGTTCCTCAGCTCTCAGCCATCACCTGGGTCTCATGGAGCAAAACTGAAACTGCAAATGAGAACGTCTAGTTGTGATGCTGGGTGATAATTCTGGCATACGTGTGACTAAACTATTTTGGAATGTTCACTTATTTTTGCAACATAGAAATGAAATTTTCAAGTGGTGGCCCTTGGTTCAGTGGCTTTGGAGTTGCTTTTGACTTTTTAAAGGATTTTTTCAAGTCCCATATAAGTTTAAAACTGTTGTCTTAGAGATCTATAAAGTGTAAGAAGAATATGTGGCAATCAACTGTGCTGCTTTTTCTCTGCAAGGTTTTTCCACCTGCTTTCAAAGAATTGCCTCCTCCTGCTCTGGAACTGTTTGACTTGGATGAAACTTTTTCCTCAGAGAAAGCACGTCTTGCAGAGATCACGAACAAATGTAAGTGGAGCAGATTGTTTGCACATTTAAAATAAAAGTCCAGGTTTTTATAGAGGAAAATTGTTATATTTAATTTTAAAGCATGGACCTCATTTGGGAAAATCTACTGCTCTTATCCTGATCTAAGAAATTGAAAGGCTCTGGAAATTAATAGTATGACTTTATGTACCATGGCATTATATTTTGTCTGTTACATAACATTTTATCCTGCATCTGCCTGCTGTTTCCTATACTGTGCATAAATTGCTTTGTGCAGTCTTGCTGATAAATTTCACATCCTTTTTATGCTTTGAAGTTAAAATGTTAAGATTATTCTCAACATACAAAGATGAGCAGGTACTCAATGCAGGAATACATCATGGCTAGTCCACTGATCTTAGTGATGGAACTGAACCTCCCAGGATGCCAACAGCAAATGGAGATTCAGAGCAGGTTTTTGGCCAGCTGCTCCAGATGTGTGACACTCACGTGCCTTCTTCCCTGGGTGCTTGTTTAGGCACCGACGATGACCTGGAGTTCTACGTGCGGAAATGCGGCGATATCCTGGGAGTGACCAGTGAACTCCCAAAGGACAAGCAAGATGCCAAATATATCCTGGAGCACATCTTCTTCCAAGTGGTTGAGTTTAAGAAACTGAATCAGGTATTTTTAATAACAATTACAAGTGAGTAGTTGGTAGTAGCAGCAGTGAGGGAGGTGTGTCATTGTAGCAGCTACACTTGTCACAGGCAAGAGGTGATGTAAGACATTAGCTGGGCAATAAATGAGACCAGTGAAGTGTGATCCACAGTACTTATGGCTCTTAATCTCCATAAAACATGTACTGCTCAATTTATTAAGTCTCTCATTTATTTTAATTGGGGGATTAGTACATGCAAGTGTAGTTTGTAATTGCAGCTAAATCCAGTTCATTACTGGTGCCTGAGTGAGAGCAGGGAGTCCTCAGGAGTGTTCAGGGCTCTGGCCAGTGCTGCAGTGCAGAGGGGACCAGCATTGTTCCTCAGAAGCTGCACTGAAATGCAGCTGTGCTGAAAGAATTCTTCATAGCAAATTTCTTACTTCAAAGCGTGTTTGGAGCATATTGGCAGAGCAGCAGTTTGTGCTAACATGAATTGCCCATTTCACATGTAATCTATTTAAGCCAAAAATCTTACAGTTATATCCCTGTTGTTAAAACTCTTTTTTCTTCTTTTTTTTTTCCTTCCTCTTCCCTTACTTAAGGAACACGATACTGACCCAAGTGAAGCTGGATTCCAGAACAGTACCTGAGACCTGGCTTTCCCCAGTTTGAGATAGAACTTTTAGGGAAAGTATATTTTTCCATTTTTAAAGTCTCTCTTCTCAGTGTATTGATTGGGACTGTCTCAGTAGTTCACTGGATGCTTGGATCATTTATGTGTGGTAGTTCAGATAATTAATGCCTTCTGGGGAACTGCTTGTATTTCACAAGCAATTTCCAAAGAATTTCTTATTTTTCTACTTCTTTATTGAAACTGTAGTTTTTTAATATATTAAAAAATAATATACCAAGAAAATGTGTTTTTGGTCCTTCTTTCTGGCTCCAGCATTTATTTTCTTGTCGTTGAGTCTTACTCTTGGTTCTCCTGGTACATGAAATCCTTAATTGCACTGTGAGAAGGGTTCTTATTTTGGTTTGTAAACTGAGGACAAAAAACCAGAGCCATAATTTTAACAGGAGCTGCTGAAAATACATTTATCACCCTGAGGCAGCCTCCTTTTGTCTCTCTGCCAAACAGAACTAAGGAGAGGTGAGTTTGTTACAGTAGAAAGAAGACATTTCTTCCAAGGGAGGGGAGGATTGAAATTAAGCAATAATGACATTATTATAGATTGCTGCCTCATAGCAGACTGGAACTACAGAATTTTAAAAAGAGAGGACAGCACATGGATGAAAACCTTAAGATTTAATGGATCATTATTAAGAAACTGTGATACTGCACAGAAACTCATGAATATTTTTACTTCCATTTATTTGATATCTAGCCCACTCCCTGAGGTAGTGAGTTCAGTAATGCACAGGAGTGGAAATCCAGGTTAAATTCATTGACCGTGAAATGTTGAAGATCAGTGCACAGCAAAAACAGAGTCAAGGAGATCAGTGGTGAGAAGAAAAGATTTGTCAACATCATCAACACCACACCTCTATTGCGAGGACATTTTTTTATGTATTAACCTGGTGAAATTGCATTATAAAGCTTTTTTTGACTGTCAGTCTGACATTCAAATTGTTAAATTCTTCTCCCGCTCAGGCCTTCCATGATTTCTGTGTTTTTACCTTGCTCTGCCATGGTTTTTAAAATCAGAGCTGCTTTTTGCAAATAATCTGTCTTTTTATCTCTCCAAAACATCTTTTTATTTTACATTTCTTCATGCTTCACATAGCATCTTGGAACAGGTTTTTCTAAAGGAGGTGCCCCAAAGCTCCTGCCCAGTTGAGATGTGCTAATATAATGTCAGCAGAAGTGGTTGTATCTCTTCCTCCTGCAGCCATTCCTTTTTCACACAGCACGTTGGAAATTTTTCATTTATTCCTCTGTTTTCCTTTAAGGCCATGGTTGTGTTTGTCACCCAGAGCACTTTGTACATTCCAGCTCCAGATTTACACAACAAGCTTAATCTCTTTTCCTGTGCAGTATCAATAGCAATCAGTCAACCAGCACAGACTGCAGCTGAACCAACCCCCTGAGTGCTCCTCTTGCTAATTTTAGCTCGGGTTTGTACTCTTCTGGGGTGTTTATACTTCAAACTGTAAATAACTTTCTGTTTCCCAGCCCTGTTTCAAGATGTTTTGTCACCTATTCCTGATGTTGTAACATGGTTTAAAAAAAGCCACGTGAGCAGCCAGGGGATACAAGCAGCTCCCCTTTTTCTGAGTGCCTCTGAGACCTCTCTGACAGCTGAAGAACAAATGGATATTTTTTTTACTAGTGTGAAATACATGTAGCTCACATCTCTCTTTCAAAGCTGTTCCTTTGGCCCTCTGGAAGTATTTAAACTTACTTTGTAACTAGAAACACTTTAGTCACGGGAGTGTGATACATGTAAAATTTATGGCTGGCTGACAGAATTTCAAAGCAGTGCAAGTGGGTGAGTGCTTTCAAGAGGTGAGGTGAGGCCAGGGGGAGCAGGTTGGGCACGTAGCTAGTGAGGGAGTTTATATATTAATGAAATTATTGCTGTGATTCATAAAAGTTAGTTACAAGCAACTCTTGATGCTTTCCCTTTTTGTCTCTGTCCTGTCATGCAGCATAACTCATTACCCCTTATCTGCTCCTAAAAGATAATAATAATCTACTCATTACATCTGCTCCTAAAAGAAGAGGGGGACAGTACATTGGTTATTCAGCAAACCATAAATGTCCTGAAAAGTGGCTTTAACAAGCTCGTCCTCTCTTTCTTTGCTGTAAGCAGAGACAGGAGAGGAACATCAGGATTGTGTGAGCAGGGTGAGATCTAACTGGGGAGCGTGAAAATCTGTAGTGTGTGGGTGCGGTGGCCTGGGCTCCTTTCCTGCCCTCGGAGCAGGGGTTGGATGCGACAGAGGAAATGGTCCCTGCGCGGGGGCCGGTGCTGGATTCCCGCGGCCACTTCGAGCAGTGACACCCTGCACGAGCAGGCCGGGGGTGCCCGGGAGCCGCTCCCCGCTGCCAGGCTGTGCTTTCCCGGTGCGCCAGGAGAGGGATCCGCGTCCCCGGCCGCGCTCCCGGCGGGCAGCGCCGGCCCCGCAGCCATGGCCCCGGGGCTGCAGCCGCGTCCCGCTGCCCCTTCTCCGCCGGGAGCCGCCCCGACCCCTCTGCCAGGTAACGGGGGCGGGCGGGCGGGGGCTCGGGCACGGCCAGCTCGGAGCATCCTGCCCCGGGCGGTGCCGAGGGGCTGCGCCCTATGGGGCTGGACCGGAGGCCGGCCCGGGGTGTTTAGGGGGCTCAGCTTCAGGCCGGGAGGGCAGCGGGAGTCAGAGACCACCAGCAGAGGGACATTTGTACCTTTATTGTGCTAATACAAAACAGAGGGATCGGGAGGAGGAGGAGCCAGCAAGGCTGCGGCTCTCGGGGGTGCCATCACCAGCCCAAATATCCCCCAGCACCAGTGCCGACTCGGCCACCCCAGGTGGGCAGACTGAGCTTGTCACCAGCTGCTGCCATCGTCTTCTGTGCTGCAGCGTGGATGAGGGGGCAGGCACCCAGCAGCTCCAGCTGGAGCCGGGGCAGCAGCATCACAGAGCCTGGTGCAGAAACACAGGGACAGCGTCAGGGTCACCCGGCTGGGTCTCCTGGGTGGCAGACCTGTGGATGAGCGTGGGGTGCTTCTTGAAGGCACCAGGCCAAGCCAGAGGAATCACCACAGGGGTCTCCAGGGATGATGTGTCTGGTTTGGAGCATCCCAGTAGGTGTAATTCCTCAGTGCTGACATCGAGGGATGTGCTGGTGTCCATAAAGGATTTTATGGCCGAGATGTCCCACCTGGGTGCTGGCACTTTCCCGAGGGCTGACATGTCTCCAGTCAGCTCACAGCTCTTGAAGAGCAGGCTCTCCAGTGGTTTGGAGTGCTTGTCTTTCTTGCAAGGTGTCGAGGTGTTCTGTGATGCCACATTCATCAGGCAGCCATCTCTGCTGGGGTGCTCACAGGACAAACCAGACAGCTCAAAGATGGCCTGGCCGTGGTGGGCCTTGCAGAAGCAGACAAGACTGGGGTCAGAGATGCCCTGGGTCAGGCTGTGCAGCTCAGTCTTCACACAGCTGCTCAGAGATTCCACCTGCTTGACAACACACAGAGAGCTGCCACTTGCTGTGTTGCCCGCATCCACAGGAAGCTCCCAGGTGTCATGTTTGGAAGCACTGCTAGAGTCCATGTAATAGCTCACCACAGGAGAGGAATAGCTATGGCTGGAGGAGCTGGCCAAGAAGCCATTTTCCAGGATTTCCTTTCTGGTCAGAATGCTGGTACTGTGCCTCTGGGTAGACAGCATGGTGCAGAATCCAGCAGCTCTCTGGCTTATGGAGAGAGATCAGGATGACCCTGTCAAGATAAACCTGTTACTGTTCACTACTATTCACCAATAGATTACAGGCTTACAGTAGCAGGACTACTCTTGGCAAAATCCCATCTCAGTCTTGCAAGGAGCCGAGCAGGATCCAGGACACATAGGAGGGCATCCAGCCTATCACTCTCTTTTAGGGTAAAAGAGTTCCACCACAGCCTGCAAGCTGCTCAGAGGTCATAGTGGAATCTCCCTGAAGTTGTATTTATTTCACCTCAGCCTGTATATTGCTACTCTTAGCTTTGCACAGGGGATGGAGGCACTTTATCCTCACTCCTGCAGTCAGAGGGCCACTCACCCCAGCTAGAATTGAGTTCCTTTGAGAAGGAGGCACCAAAAGCAGGCTCTGGCTAGGATGGGAGAGGTTGAGGGGCAGCTCTTATCTTACTTTTAGTCCTATGCATGATAACCCTCACCTCCAACTCAGCCAGGAGCTGACTTCCAGCTCCTTCCTGAGGAACTGGGTAGGCCAGGGAAGGGGATGGCCATACTCCAAACGCAGCTTTACTCTGATTGCATGTTAAACAGTGAGAAATAGCACCTGAATTTACTGTAAAGGGACTATATAGTCAGTCTAGAAGGAAAGTCTTCTTTAAGAGACTAAAATCTGCTTTTCTTAGTATAAATGAAGGAAGGAAGAAAAGAAAATAATTAGTACCTTCAGCTCCTGTGGAGACCCTTTGCTGTTCTTGACCCTTTTCTACTAGTGTTACTTGCAGCAGTTTTATAGTTCTGGTAATCAATTAACAGGCTGATTTCCTAATTAAGCTAGTTTGAGAGAGGGAGGAGCTCCTGGTACCAGGCTGATTTCCTAATTAAGCTAGTTTGGGAGAGGGAGGAGCTCCTGTTTGCTAAGCACAGGGGCAGTGAAGGTGGGCTATGGCTGATTGAGGGAGGTACTCTGAGGGCTGGCTTGTGGTTGTCCTGTCAGTGGGTCCTTAGGAAGGTGACACTTTCCGTTAACTCTCACTTTGTGTTTTGTGTTGGTTAGGAATATACACGTGTATTGGCTGACTGAGGGAGGTACTCTGAGGGCTGGCTTGTGGTTGTCCTGTCAGTGGGTCCTCAGTGAGGTGACACTTTCCTTTAACTCTTGCTTTGTGTTGGTTAGGAATATCCACATGTACAGACCTTGTATTGATAGACAGCATATGTTGGAATATTTGGGCAATGTTCTCAGGCACGGGGTTGGATTGCTGTGGCTGTTTTGGGCAGAGCCAGGAGCTGGACTTTGGTGAACTTTGGGGTCTCTTCCAGCCTAGAATATTCTGTGGATCTGTAACATGTGTGGTGTTCCTGCCCTGTATCTGGGGCTGCTGTAACTGGGAAGGGGGGGAACTCAGGTCAGTTTGGGGGTGGAAATTTGGGGTCCCATGGGGGGACTCATGTCGGTGTAGGGGTGGAAATTTGGGGTCCCACGTTGGGAGGGTGTGAATGGAGGGCATTCTGTGTTGGTGTGGGGGCTTTCCAGTGGTTTCAGGTGGATGTGGGGGTCCTGGGAGTCGGGTCCATGGGGACGTGGATGCAGATGTGTGGAGGATGGAAACGAGTTGTCATGGGTCAGTGCAGGGGTGGGTGAGGGAGTGTCCTGGGTCAGTGTGGGGGATCCCAGTGGTTTGGGGTCAGTACAGGGGCAGATGCAAAGGCATCCCGGGGTCAGTGCTGGGCTGGATGGGGAGGGTCCTGGGGGTCCCAGTTGGTGTGGGGGTGGATGAGGATGTTCCCGGTGGGGCTCACATCGATGCGCGATGGGTCTCGGATCGGTGCGGGGTCGGTGTAGGGGTGGATGGTGTGGGGGTGGATGAGGATGTTCCCGGTGGGGCTCGCATCGATGCGCGATGGATGCGGTGGGTCTCGGATCGGTGCGGGGTCGGTGTGGGGGGGGATGTCCAGGATCAGGTGGTGTGTTGGATGTGGGGACTCTCGGCAGTCCCGGTTTCAGTGCGGGATTCCTGGGGCTGGATGCGGAGATTCCGCAGGATGTGCCGAGGTATGTGGGAGGCTGGATGCGGGGTGTCCCGGCTCGGTGTGGGGATGGATGCGGGGTGTCCCGGGTGGATGAGGTGTTCCAGCTTGGTGTGAGGGTGGATGCGGTGTGTCCCGGGTGGATGCGGGGTGTCCCGGCTCGGTGTGGGGATGGATGCGGGGTGTCCTGGATCAGTGTGAGGGTGGATGCGGGGATGGATGCGGTGTGTCCCGGGTGGATGAGGTGTTCCAGCTTGGTGTGAGGGTGGATGCGGTGTGTCCCGGGTGGATGCGGGGTGTCCCGGCGGAGGCTCCTCCCGGCCGCCCCGTTCCCGCTCGCCGGCCGGACAGCGGGATGCGGGCGGCGGCCCCGCGGTGCCCGCGCTGGGACAGCCCCGGCTCTGCCCGCTCGGGAGCGGGGGGCCAGCGGGCGCTCCCCGCAGCGCTCCCCGCGCCCCTTTGCGGCAGCGATCCGGCCGCTGCTGAGCTGTGCCTGGGTGCCTCGATGCAAAGTCCACCCCGAGGGACAGAAGTGGAGAGAAATGGAAAGAAGCGCTCTGTCCTCTGCTCTGGGCGGAATAAAACTTGCCAGCTGGCGCCTAAAGCGGAGGATCTCCTTTCAGTCTGGGGTGGGTGGGTGCCAGTGAGGTGGGGCTCGGTGCTGGAAGGGGGAGATCTGGGGCTCTGCTCTGTATGGTGGAGGTTGCTCCCTCTCCTGCTTTTTTACCAGGTAGAAATGATGATTTTCCTTTATTCCCCCCAGTGAGGACCAGGACGAGCCGCATTACCAGGATACCGATTTGGATGTGCCGGAGCAGCGGGATGGCAGGTGCAAAGTCAAGTGGACGCCGGAAGAGGTGGGTGAGAGCCTGACATTTGCCCAGAGAGGTGCTTTGGGGTGGTGCCTCTGGCATGGCACCCTGGGCTTCGGTGACTCCACCCCAGCCCTCACCTGCTGGCCACGATCTCACCTCCTCCTGCTGGAGAGGACCTTGTGGCTTTTGTACTGAGCTCAGGCCTGAATGAGGCTCAGACGTTCAGGGGAGTTTGAAGTGTAGCCTGAAGAGCAAGAGCTCAAACATTTTTAACTTAAGCCTGTGAGTACTGAGAAAAACACCACTGCCTGCAGCACTCCTGTGAGCACAGATGAGTCCAGATGATGGCTGAGACCTCTAACAAGCTGAAATGTGCAGTGGAAATGTACTCCTTTTTCTGGAGAAAAACCAGGGAGTATTGAGACTTAGGATCATGGCTTAGTCATCCTGGCTAAGAGCCTGAATTTAACTGGGATATCCTCTTCCTCCCAGCTTCACTATCAGTTTCGTGCCTTGTGAAAACTATAGTTGGGGTCAGAACACCAAGAAAGGTGGTATTGTGGAAGGATCAAAGCCTTGGGCTCATGTTGGGCTGGGAATAATTTTGTTATAGAACTATCCAGAGCCCACAGACAAGGATGTCTCTAGTAGGCTTTCTGTGAGCTGTAGGAGTTTGCATACCCAGGCTATAGCAGGGATCACAAAAGAGATGCTCTGGAGCCCTGTAGCACTGAAAGACAGAAGAGCACTGGGCGGTGGTGATACACTTTAACCAGTGAGCTTTCCTGGCCAGACAAAACCAGTGGCTGGGCTGGGAGATGGACTGTCTGGTCAGGAGTGTTCTGGGGCTGGATAAACAGGCCCTTGGCCACAGGGTTTGACCAGACTGTAGAGGAACAAAGCTGAATTCTTATTTTGTACTTAATGTATGAACTTGTCCTGGTACAGAGTTCAGAACCAGTCTGTTCCAGTTGGGCTCCATGTACTGGAGGGCTGCTAAACACTGGTGTGAGCTGCCTTCCTCCCCTGAACACACAATGCCAACAAAACCTTGACAGTTCAAAACATCTAACTCGTTCTTTTAATGTCATCAGCCCCGTGGTGTGTGTTGCCTCAGTGTATCTAAAAGTGGATGTTTTGTTCTTTGCAGGATGAGCAGCTGAAGATGTTAGTGAGCCATTATGGGCAGAATGACTGGAAGTTCCTGGCCAGCCACTTTCCTGTGAGTGACCCCATGCTCAGCTGGGAATCCCAGTGTTTGCATGTTGCTGGTTCCTGTGTCTGTGCAGTGGGAGTCTTTTCTCACTCTGTTCTGACTTCATAGCTCCAAGCTGTGAAATGGGGTTGCTTCAGGGCAGGGAGACCTTCTTGCACAGAAGGGTTCCCAGGGCGAGTCTGTTGGAGCTGGAGTGAGAAATTGATGTTCCTGTCCCTGTGTCCTGTGCCCAGGACCTCCATATGTGTTTTCTGTGTGATTCTGCAGGTGTTCTGTGGGACAGGCCCTGTGTTACAGGGACTGCTGTCAGTTTGGGGGGTTTTTGGGCCTCTGGAGCCCCTGGTCTAACACAAGGCTGTTCCCATCCTGTTCCCAGAACCGCAGTGACCAGCAGTGTCAGTACCGCTGGCTGAGAGTGTTGAATCCAGACCTGGTTAAGGGCCCCTGGACCAAAGAGGAGGATCAAAAGGTAAGTCAGGGCTGAGAGGATCAGAGTTGGACTGTCTCTGTCTGCAGAGAGGGTGGAGATGTCAGACCCATCCTTAGGTGTTGTACACTGTGTAATTGTTCCCTGTGGTGGTACCTGTGAGAGCAGCTCTGTCACATCCCAACCAAGCAGCCCAGGCAGCCATGGTTGGGATGTGATGTGATCTAGGCCTCTCCAGGTAAACACCTTCTCCCTTTCACACAGTGCTGCTACAGTAGGCTGCCAAAGGAGAGAGCTGAAAAGGGAATTAATTCATCTGCCTGCTGGCAGGTCTCCACCTGGCCTGGCCAGGTTGGATCTAAGAGAAAATAAAACTGGCATTTCCTGTGCCACTGTAGGCAGGCTGGAGTGGATGTCTGAGGTTGGCTGTGTGAATCATGACTTCTGTGAGGCTGTTTCTCTGCTGAATCCAGAGTCAGATGAGAGAGGCCAGCTCAGGCAGACTCATCATCTTGATGTACTTAAGAAAAGTCGGAGAGAAACCCAGATTTTACCAAGGTTTTCTGGTACAGAACATCCTGGTTTGGCAGATTCTCTGTAACACTCCTGCTCCCCGGCTTCTTTCCCTTTTGGTCCCATTATGTTTTGTCAAGCCCTAAGGAAGCTTCTCCTGATGTTGTTCCCTGTTCTTACAGCAGAGAAATTGTTGCCTGCTCTTACAGCAGAGCAGTTGTTGCCTGCTTTCCCCTTCCCTTTGCCTTGTCCTGACTCTGCCAGCCTACCCATCCTGGCCAGGCTAGGCTCCAGCTCTCTCCTCATTGCTTTGGCCCAGCTCCTTGGCCTCAGTTTTGCATGTTTGGTCCATTTTTCTGTGCTTGAAAGGCAAGAGTCTGCAGCGGGGACATTTGTTACATGAGCATCACTTCTACCTGCACCTTTCAGCTCAGCACAGCTGACCAGGGTAGAAATGTTCTTTCAGAACTCTTCAGCCAGGATTTTCGTGGCTGAACATCACAGATTGTTTCATCCTGACTGTGCCCTGGATATTTTAGGAGCCCAGAATGGATTCAGTGCCCAGAAGCATCTGTGTTGGGGCTCTGGCAGAAATGACAAAACCCTGGGTGTAGGGTAAGGCGAAGTGGATGGTTCTGAAGTGAATTTGGATCTTTCCCTGTGTGTCCTGGTGCTGTCAGGGCATGAAGCTGCAGCCCTGTCTGTCCTGGGTGTACCACACTGTTAAAAAGAGCAGCAGGCCAGTGCAGAACTTGATGTCACACAGCCAGGTCCTTGGAAGTAGGGAGGGCAGAGGAGCCTTGGAGCAGGTGGGACTTGGCCTTTGCTCAGAAATGGGAA